TAGCTGACTGGTTGGTTGATTGGTTGGTTTGTTGATTGGTTGGCTGGTTGGTTTGTTAATTTGTTGGTTGATTGGTTGGTTGGTTGATTGGTTGGCTGGTTGGTTTTGAGAGTCTTACTGTGTAGCCCAGGCTGGCCCCTAACTCCAGATCCTCCTTCCTCAGTCTTCTGAGTGTTGAAATCACAGGTGTATCCCACCAGCATCTGGCCAATATAGTATTAATGCAGTATTTTACAATTCATATTTAAATATGTCTTCAAAACCCAGTGTGTAGTTTACATCTGCGGTGCCTCTCTATTGGACAAGCTACATTGGAAGGTTCAGTCGCATGCCTCTGTCGAGTCTAGAGACAGGTATCAAGGATGACAAAGTGTGTTTATTCACTCCATAAAAACCCCAGTCCTCCGTTCACGCAGAGACTCCGCTCTCCTTTCCTCCTGTTGTCCGGTGCCTCGAGTTACATGTGTCTGTAGTGCAGGGCTTCTCAGAATCAAATAGGCACTGTGGCCCAAGAAGAGCAGCACACAGCCTGCAGTGTGGCCAGATTCCTGTGACCTTACAGGACAGGAATGCCATATCCTATTTTGGCATTTGCTGGTTTGGGAGAAGCAGAGAGCTTGGAAGCAGGCAGAGGGAGACATTCAGAAGGAGGCTCCAGAAAGAGGAACACTGCAAAGGCTGAGAAGGGACAGCAAGACTCTGAAGGGCAGCACTTCCGAGGTAACAGTACAGGGGCGGGGGGGGGGGGGGGGCTGTGAGCTGGAAGAGGGCACTGAACCCAGCAATATTGGGGTCCTTCTTACACGTCAACAGAGCAGTGTACCCAGCTAGGGAATGAAAGGGAGTCATGAGTGTAGAGCTTCTTGTGACTTTGGCACTGACGTGAAAAAGAGGGATGCTGAAGAAGGAATGTGCTCGAAGGAAATGTGCTGGGGTGTTGTCTAACTAATGAGTAGGGACATCGGACCCTGCTTGTGGACTAAAATTGAAGCTGTGGAAACTGAATATAGTGAGGGGCTGGGCAGAGTGGGGGGACACTGTGGAAGGGAAGACCGATTAAGGATGCTGGCTATAGAGAGAGAACTAGGACCCCTAGTACCCGACCAGGAATGAAATAAGGAAGGAGGGAGTAGAGAGATGAAAGGGCAAGAAGGTTTGGGGGGCACTGTGCCTTTGTTTCCCCCTGACCTCATCGGTAAGAACATCTGAACTGAGGGGTTGGTAACGGAACCAAGAACAGACGTGTAAGGGCCACTGGGATGGAATGCAAGGGGTCCGCGTGGCCTGGTGAGGAGCGTGGTCCCCACACCCATCCGAATGAAGCGCATGTCATGTCCATCCCAGCTGCAGAAATGGAAGCTCTTCCTGTGGTTCTGAGCTGTTGTTCCATAGGCTAGTGCTGGCGCATTTTGAGGACATCACTGAGGATGTGATACGAGCAAAGTGGTACCCAATGCGGTGGTGCACAGAATGTGTCGAGGCGCAGGGCTGGGGATGCGGCTCGCTGGGCAAGCCCTGGTCTAGCGTGTGCAACAGTCTGCACCACAGACTCGGGCAGGCTCGTTTAATGGTGCTGTATGCACTTGAATGACTTGCAGAAGAACCACAGCACGTTTAACTCTAAATGTGAGGAAATATAACGGAAAGTGCTAAGGAATGGTGAGGTGGCTCAGTGGACCAAGGTACCTGCCACCGAGCCCGACAGCCCGAGCTCACTCCCCAGCATCCACACGGTGGAAGGGAGACCGACTGAAAGTTGGCCTCTGACCTCCACTCCCGAGCCGAGGCACATGCATACACGTACACAAATGTACATTGTAAATTTATTTAAAGAAAACTACTCCACAATGGTAGAGACGGAACACAGATATTCCAAAAATCCCAAACAAGGATCATGAGTGCCTGGGGTTATAAAACACCAGATAAGGGGCTGCCGATGACACAGTGGTTAAGAACACTGGCTGCTCTTCCCGAATACTCACGGTAGCTCACAACCTTCTATAACCCAGCACCAGGGGATCTGATGTCCTCTCCTGACTTTGTGAGTTCCAGGCATTCACCTGGCGCACAGACACATGTGCAGGCAAAACACCCATACACATCAAATTAAATAGATTTTTTTCTTTTTTTTTTTTTTTTATAAGTAAGAGGTACAGTACCCTCAGCAGAGGTTCTAGTTACTTCCAGCAGTCACCTGGACATGGCCAGTGTCTCTGATGCTATGAACAGCACTGTTCACGGGTTATCTGCTACACATCTGTCCGCCATGCCACACACAGCCTAGTCAGACCGGCACCCAGCTGGCCTTCCCGATCACTGTGTGCCTGCTGCTCTGCAGTCTCCCTGGCAGACAGAACAAAGTTCAGTGCTCCAGAGTTGGCAGTCTGAGTGTGGCAGTAGTGCTATGATTTCGGGTGGGCCAGCACCCCCGTGTCACCTGCTAAATTCAGTATTTTTTTTTTAATAAACCTGTCATCCATGCCTGCCTGCAGAATTAGAAAAAAAATCTCTTCATTAAAAGTGTGTTAGCCCAAATCTATACAACACACACACACACACACACACACACACACACACACACACACACACACACTTGTTGTTGTTGGTTTTGTTTATTTTTTAAGACAGGGTTTCTCCGTGTAGTCCTGGCTGTACTGGAACTCACTCTGTAGCCCAGGCTGGCCTCGAACTCACAGAGACCCACCTGCCTCTGTCTCCTGAGTGCTGGGATTAAAGGTGTATGTGTGCCACCATGCCTGGCCTACAAACATATGTGTATTTTTTAATTCATAGCTCAGTGGTGGAGTGCTTGCCTGGCATACACAAGGTCCTACGTTCAGTCTCTAGTTCTAAAGTGGAAAAAGGTCAGAAAAGGTTCAAGCAATCTGTGCTAGACCAGAGCCCCGTGACAGTATTTGCCTAGTGTCTCCCCAGCAAGCAGGGGGCACAAAAAAGAGTCTGATCCTTGTTTGTCCTCCCTCTCGGGCAGTGCTCTCTTTTCCCACTGCTCTGGGCTGCCCTGTGAGGGAATTCCACATCCTCCACCACTGTCTTCATTCCAAGACCTCTGCTGGCTGGGGACAGCTCCCTACTGTAGCTTCAGGTGAGGTGACCAGCACCTCACTGTCGTCTTCTAGCTCAGCTTTTGTTTAAAAAAACAAACAAAAACCCATATATTTGTGTCTCTGTGTGTGTCTGTCTGTCTGTCTCTGTCTGTGTGTCTATGTGTGTGTATCTGTCTGTCTCTCTGTGTGTGTGTCTGTCTGTCTCTCTATGTCTGTGTGTCTGAGTGTCTGTCTTTCTGTGTCTGTTGTCTGTCTGTGTGTCTGTCTGTCTGTCTGTCTGTCTCTCTGTGTCTGTTGTCTGTCTGTCTGTCTCTGTGTCTGTGTGTGTGATATGATGTGTGTGTGTGTGTGTGTGTGTGTGTGTGTGTGTGTGTGTGTGTGTGTGCAGGACAACTTGTGGGAGTCACTTTTCCCCTTCTCTCACGTGAGTCCCAGGGATGAAGCTCAGGTCCGGGAGGTCGCCGCAAGCGCCTTCACCTGCTGAGTCATCCCACTGACGCCGGCTTTTTTTCCTGTGATTTTTAAAAATGTATTTTTGTCTTGGCTTACAAAGAAGTATTTTTTCACTATGACTTGAAATACTCTTCCTACTGCCTCATGTGGTAGCTTCCTGGATACCATTTAGAGGGAAATTTCTTAGACCAGTTAAATTTAGTAGATTTATTTGAGCAAACAAACACAAACTAAAAACAATTCCTGAGTAGTAGTTACCAGAACAACTGAGGATTTAGCCTGCAATGTTATCCAACAGCATTTATCAAAAAACAGAAATGAGAGCTCCAGAAAACAGCTACAGCTGCCATTTGGTTACAGCTTAATTGGTGATTGGGCTGGAAAAAATGGCTCAGTGGTTAAGACTGTATTCTTACAGAGGACCTGAGTTCGACTCCCAGCTCCCACATTAGGCAGCTCACAACTACCTGTGACTCAAGTTCCAGGGGACCTGCACCTCTCTGACCTCATTGCGAACATACACATAAATAATAAAAATATTAAAGTAATAATAACCGTAAGTTAATTGACCACAGGGCCTCCTGCAGCCAGCCAGAACCCAGTTAGTGTGATCAAGTTCTACATTGATTTGCTCTGTTAGCTGCCCCATCCAATCACACAGCCTCCTCCAAAGTTGGTTTTGCAATACCCGCCTGTTTCCACTTTTTGCCTGAGGAGGGGATTCCTGGGGTAGTTCTCGGTGTCACTGTGCACAGGAAACCTCTGGCTGTGATGTCAGACTCTGCAGAGTGCATGCAGTACCTCCCACCCTGCCGAGAGCTGCTGGTGATGCCTCTGAGTGGCTATGTCAGGGTTCCGTGCTGTCCCACCTCACTGCCTTCTCTCAGTGAGTCGTTGAGATTTTTTAACCTTAGGACTCTCCTTGCAAAACTCTAGAGACACGTGCTAGGGCCTTTTGTTGTTGTTTTCTTAACAGTAATTCAACGTGAGTAATGGTATTTTCTATAAGTATGTAAGTAAATAAATACATTGCCAAAGCCTCTGTCAGTACCGAACAGCGCCGTTTGCATGACAGACCGATTTTCTTCTGTAAATGCCAGGCCTAAGTGCCGGATGACCCACTGATAGCTCATGACGTGTAGTTTGGAAAACACCCATCTCAAGTACTAGTTTATTTAATCATTTCAGTAAGTCCCAGTGAGATGGTGAAATTCTGGCCTCTTTGAGGCCATTTCTAGAATCCTTCATTCCCTCACTGTTGCTCAGAAGTCACGAGCACGCTGTAACTTCACAGATGCGGTCCATTCACCTCTAGGAGCACCGAGTGGTGCCTCCCGTCCGCTCTCTGCAAATGTGTGACACTCCTTTGGAAAGGTCCTTTCAAAGCAGCATTGGTGAACCCAGCACACCCGCTGAGAAATGTCCATTTTCCGTGAGGGGTTGACTGAAGTAGTGTTGTCAAGCTCTGCCCTGTCTCCACAGGGTGTGCCGATCTCCAAGCCCTGGACACGATGCAGCCCATGGAGAGGAAGCGACAGGGCTACATTCACGAGCTGATCCAGACGGAGGAGCGGTACATGGATGATCTGCAGCTGGTCATCGAGGTGAGGGCCGTCGGCGTCGCTGCTGCTCTCTCTTAAAAGCAACGGGAGCCCTCTTCCTTTGTTTTGTGGTGCTGGGGATGCCGCCCAGGGCCTGTCACATGCCACGCACATGTTTTACCATGGAGCCGTGTCCCCTGACTGAGCCCCACCTCCATGTGAGCACTCACAGTGACACAAGCTGCCACTGCCCTCTGGAAAGGCCGAAGACTCAAGGTTCCTGATGAAGGCCCAGGCTCTTCCCCAGCTGAGCCCACTCGGGGGAGGGGGGACACCTGGGAGTGTCCTAGTTGAGTGTGCAAAGGACAAGGGCGTAGAGAAGGAGGGAAGGCCTCCAGACGGGCTTGACTCCAGTTCTTGCCAAACTGTGTTCGCACTGCCATTTGGAAACCTGACATTTTCGCTACCTAGTGTTTATGTCAGCTTAGGAAACCGAACAGGCGCAGGTGCAAAACAGTGTCCCAAATCATGTGTCACTGTCTGTACCTGTCCGTGTGGCCGGTGGCATCTGAGCTGATGACAGCGCCCTCTGGAGAGGGACACTACAGTGGCTTGTGTCCGAAAGCACAAAGGCGGCTTTATACTTCTACCCTCTTTCCGTTTCCATGGCTTCCGGTTGCCAGGAAACCATACCACGGCCGTCAGGTGAGGAGAGCGGTTCCGTCAGCAAACCACCTGGAGAATGCAAGCACCCCACCCCCACCCCACCCGGCCGGCAGGTGCATCTGCATCCCCTGCCGTGACCTGGAGAGCAGAGTGGAGCAGGGGCTGCACCTGCCCGCACCTGCCTGCAAGGCCTGCTGTGCAGTCAGCTGCTGCACCTGCTCCTCTGCGCATGTCCACCCCCTCACTCCTCTGCACCACTCCTCACACCTGTGCGCTCCCTGCAGACTCCTTTTTGTTGTTTGTTTTTGAGATCGGGTCTCGTGGAGTCCAAACTGGCCTTGAACTTGCTGTGCAACTAAAGATGACCTTGAACATCTTATCCTCCTGCCTCTGTCCTCCGTGCACTGGGGTTAGTTTATGTGGTGCTGGAGACTGAACCCCAGACATCATGCCTGCTAGGCAGGCATCCCACCAGCTGAGTTCAACCCCTCACTCTCCCTGTCTGTTCTTCGTTCGTTCATCCCCCAGGCTTAGCCTGGCCCTGGTCAGGCTTCAAATGGGCATTGAATGGATTCGATGTACTTTCCCATACCCGGACTAGGAGAAAAGCCCCTGTTCCCGACCTAGGAGAAAAGCTCCTGTTCCCGACCAACCTCCTCGGAGTGTCAGCTCCCAGTCCAAGGGCACTGTGGGTAGCCACGAGTCTCAGGCCCTAACCCAGAGGATGAGCAGACACAGGTGCTTGTCACTCCTGCTAGGCATCTCAGGAATGCCCCTTCTGCCCTCCTCACCCATTGTCCTATGGGCAAGGAGCTGTCAGGGGCTCGGGGCGAAAAGCACTCTGCTAAAATGACTTTCTTACAGAAGTTGCTAAAGCCTCAGCCATCTTTTCCCTCTGCTTCTCTCACTGAGCCTGCTCACAGGGCTTCTGCACAGATAAACAACCCAGTAGTGAATAAAGACTAGGGGCTGTCGCTGCTCTTCAGTGCAGCCTGGGAGCAGGAAGATCATGTTTGCATGTAGGTGCTTCCTGGCATCCCGTTCACAGTCTCCATCCCGTGTGGAGCTGAGACATTTCTCTCTAGAGACCTTCCAGTTCAGTGTCTCTGGCTAATGTCTGTGGCCCACCTTAACTCAGCAAACATTAGCTGAAGTGCTGTGGCAGAGAACACAGGTGGCCAAGGAGTCCCTGTCCTCATAGTTTGCACAGTCTTGTTGGCGAAGGACACCAAGAGAGACAGTGAGGATCAGGGCCCAGAGAGTAGGTCCACTCTAACCAGGAAGGGCTCTCCGGTTATGCTCCGACCACCATGAGTCTGCTCTGCCAGGGGAAAGTGGAAGTAGGGATGTCCCAAGGGTGTGGGGGTCCTGCGAGTTATACCCGAGTGTGAAGTAGGGATGTCCCGGGGATGTGGGGGTCCTGCGAGTTATACCCGAGTGTGAAGTAGGGATGTCCCGAGGGTGTGGGGTCCTGCGAGTTATACCCGAGTGTGAAGTAGGGATGTCCCGAGGGTGTGGGGGTCCTGCGAGTTATACCGCAGTGTCAAGGACCTCGGGGCCTGTGGTGAATTGGATCTCAAGGCCTGTGAACTCAAGGGGTTTGCATCTCATTTCTTGGCTAGTGTGGAGCCTATGCATGGTTTAATACAGAGCCCTGTGTTATATGGAACCTTGGGCAAATCACACTGTAAGCCATGATTTCCTCATAAGCCAATGAGAAATAACAGCAGCTAAGTCGCTTCATCTGTCCAGTGAGAACCCTGTATACACTCATGTGCCTTACACACATGTGCTACCGTGTGCATGTGGAACCCAGGTGGGGAGTATCTCTGCAGCTGGCGCATCTGCTCAGGGTTATCACAGGGTGGCAGAAAACAGCACCGTTTTCTCGCTGCGCAGCACAGAGGGTCCTGAGACTCTGAGATGACCCCTGAGCAGCAGCCACTGTCCCTCCATCCTGGGGGTTCCACTGTGCAGGGCCCTGTGCCCAGCACTGCTTGGCCCCCACAGCAGGCCTAGGAGGGAGGTGGGCTTCCTTAGTGAGGGGATTCAGCCCTTAAAAACCAGCCTTAACATGAGCCTAACTAGTGAACATAAGGAATTGGTGCAGTTTAGAATCTGACAGTGAGCCAGCGTGGCTTAGCCATGAAAGCATTTGTACTTGAGTTCGATCCCTGCAGTCCACGTGACAAAGCCACGTACAGTGGCACACACCTGTGATCTGTGGCAAGATGGGTGGCAGACAGGAGAATCGCCCGGAAGCTTGTCAGCCAGGTAGCCTGTAGATCATGCTCTGCCCAGTGAGACCCTGCTGCCTCAAAAGTGGGGGAGGAGAGGACCCACCCCAGAAACTCATCCTCTACACTGTGGTATACATGCCCCCCCAACTCTGTCTCTATCTCTGTTCCCCCTCATGGACACAGACACACAGTAACGATAAATAAGTCATAAATACGCTTACTTAGAAGTGCCGGCCTCTCGCTGTCCGAGTGCAGGAAGGCACGCGTGGCCGTGGACCTACACTCAAGCTCAGTTACATCTGTGTTTTGAACTTAGGTTTTCCAGAAACGGATGGCAGAATCGGGCTTCCTCACCGAGGCAGAGATGACCTTGATCTTCGTGAACTGGAAGGAGCTTATCATGTCCAACACAAAGCTGCTGAAGTGAGTGGTGGGCGTCACCTGACATTGTCACTGTAGCCCCTCGGGGACTTTCAACTCTGTTCTTCTCCCTTAGGCCTTGTGTTCCACTAGCCTTTTGAGAAGTGCCCTGTAACTTGATTACGTAATTATTGAGGAAGTAAAGGACAAACTACTCTGATTCAAGAGAGAAGCTGTGGTGGTGTGTGGTCCCCAGACAGGTACAGCGTGCAGCTTGGCAGGGGCAGTGACAGGCAGAAGAGCTGCAGCCACAGCCAGATGACAGCACAGTGCTCGTGTGCAGTTCCTGTCCTGGGGGAGCCTTCTGTCTGTCCCTTACACTTACGGGAACAGAGCTCCAGCCAGCTGGCCAGTTTAACCCTGGCCGCACCCCTGCCCTTCCAGGGCCACAGCGCACCATGAGGATACCAGCCCTGCACTCCAACCCCTGGCCACTGTGGCTCCCAAGCCCTTCTTGGGGATTTCTTTCTCTTTGATTCAAATGAGGACAAACCAATTCAATCTTTCAAAAGGAACTTTGTCAAGAGCCTGAGGTGAACTGAAGAGTCCAGAAAGGCCTAGAAAGCACCTAAATGTGTAGACTTTGGTACCTTTTTCTTCTTCACTGATGTTTCTCCCAGATTAGCTCATCCAACAGAGCTTTGGGCCATGCCACTGCCCCCCCCGCCCGAGCCATTCCTTCCCAGTGTCCAAGGATGCTAGGTCACCCGGTGGGGTGCCATTGCTGTGGTCTCCATGGCATTCGCCCTCTGACTGCCAAGGGGGAGATCTGTGGAGAGCGGAGTGACCGTCAGTTACTTGCAGGGCCTTGCGGGTGCGGAAGAAGACTGGAGGGGAGAAGATGCCTGTGCAGATGATCGGGGACATCCTGGCGGCCGAGCTGTCCCACATGCAGGCCTACATCCGCTTCTGCAGCTGCCAGCTTAACGGAGCCACTCTGTTACAGCAGAAGACAGATGAGGACACTGACTTCAAGGAATGTTTAAAGGTATGGCTAGCCTGGGACTTCCGGCGTCTTTGCCTCTTAGCCTGGGGGTGGCCCCACACCGCCCGCTGTGGGAGTTGTGCCGTTGAGAGGCAGGTCCCCATTAGCGGAAGCCAAAGATGACGAGCAGCTTCCTGAGTGCGTAGTGCTGTCCCAGGTAGAGCTTATTTTTCTTGGCACTAGAAACATCATTTCACATCCTGGTTAAACAGTGGTGTTGTTTCATTTTGTTTTTTGACAACCTCGTGTATCAACTGGTTTGTTTTTCCAAAGAAACATCCACAATGCCACTTCTTTTTGAATTATTTATGTCTTTGGGTGTTTGCCTGCGTGTATGGCAGTGAGCCACATGCATGCCTGGCGCCTCGGAGGTCAGAAGAGGCATGGATTCCCTGGAATTGGAGTTAGAGGTGGTTTTGAGTGTGGGTGCTGGGAACCGAACCCAGGTCCTCTGCAAGAGCAGCCAGTGCTCTTAACCACCCAGCCTTCTCTCCAGCTCCACTGAACTATCACTTCTTAATTTTACAAATTATATGTATTTAATAATCATCTTATTCCAGAAAGAACATTAAAGAGCTTAGTTAAATGTATAAGATACAGCAAAATAAAATTTTAAATAATTAGGTGAGAACTTTGCTAGTGGAGGACATGAAAGCAGGAAAAAAAGAGTTAACAGGAAACGAGGTAATCCCTACAGGTGTGACTGTGACCCTTCGTGTGGTGCACCAGCAGTGTGCACAGGTGTCGGTGAATAATCCCTACAGGTGTGACTGTGACCCTGCGTGTGGTGCACCAGCAGTGTGCACAGGTGTCTGTGAATAATCCCTACAGGTGTGACTGTGACCCTGCGTGTGGTATTCCAGCAGTGTGCACAGGTGTCTGTGAATAATCCCTACAGGTGTGACTGTGACCCTGCGTGTGGTGCACCAGCAGTGTGCACAGGTGTCGGTGAATAATCCCTACAGGTGTGACTGTGACCCTGCGTGTGGTGCACCAGCAGTGTGCACAGGTGTCTGTGAATAATCCCTACAGGTGTGACTGTGACCCTGCGTGTGGTGCACCAGCAGTGTGCACAGATGTCAGTGAATAATCCCTACAGGTGTGACTGTGACCCTGCGTGTGGTGCACCAGCAGTGTGCACAGATGTCAGTGAATAATCCCTACAGGTGTGACTGTGACCCTGCGTGTGGTACACCAGCAGTGTGCACAGGTGTCGATGAATAATCCCTACAGGTGTGACTGTGACCCTGCGTGTGGTGCACCAGCAGTGTGCACAGATGTCAGTGAATAATCCCTACAGGTGTGACTGTGACCCTGCGTGTGGTACACCAGCAGTGTGCACAGGTGTCGGTGAATAATCCCTACAGGTGTGACTGTGACCCTGCGTGTGGTACACTAGCAGTGTGCACAGGTGTCTGTGAATAATCCCTACAGGTGTGACTGTGACCCTGCGTGTGGTACACCAGCAGTGTGCACAGGTGTCTGTGAATAATCCCTACAGGTGTGACTGTGACCCTGCGTGTGGTACACCAGCAGTGTGCACAGGTGTCTGTGAATAATCCCTACAGGTGTGACTGTGACTATGCCTGGAACTCAGAGATCCGCCTGCCTCTGCCTCCCGAGTGCTGGGATTAAAGGTGTGCATCACCACCGCCCAGCTAACATTTTTTAAAATGTAAAAACATCATCTAGGACCAGAGGTATAACTTAACAGGAGGTTGATTCCCTGACATGCACAGGTTCTGGGTTCCATCTCTAGTACTTCAAAGAAAAAATTAAATAAAAGCAAATTTTGTCAATACATTGTATCTGAATCGTTACTTTTACATTTTTGTCTTTTCTTTTTTGACACTGGAACTCAAACCTAGAGCCTTGCTCATACTAGACAAGAATTCTTCCTCTGCTACAACTCTAGCCTCCAAATACTACTTTTTAGTAATTGAAAATAAAAAGCATAAAGATACCATTTTAACAAAATATGTAGGTACAGGTCTATTCAAAAACAAAAAAGAACAGTCTTCCTATCCATGGCTGCAGTAAATCACTCCTCAGTCATTAAAGGTGCTCACCCCAGAGTGCTGGTGACCCCTTGGGGTGGTCACTCTGGAGTGCTGGTGACCCCTTCAGGTGCTGTGCCAACAGACCACTGATCCTGGCAGCCTGATGGAGACACCTAAAGCATGATACCCCATGTGACCTGGTTCCCATAGGCACTAGGTACCCAGAGGGGAGTCACAGAGAGGAGGGAGGTGTCCCAGGGCAAAGTGGCTACAGAGAAGCATGGCCTGGGTCTTGGAAACGAATGTGAGTCAGGAACATGAAAAAGGGCGGTAGAGACAGCGCTGGCCAGTTCTGATGAAGCGGGGAAGGCAGGCATGCTGAAATGGGGGAGTCAAGAGCTGTCCACCAGACAGATGGGCGTGATGATGACTCCTGGGTGAGTGTGACTCAGATGGAGGTAGAAAAGATGGCTTTTGTGAGGGAAGTTGACCTCGTGTGGGGTATGTTGGATGAGGTGCTGAGGGAACGTCTAATGAGAAGTGTGATGTCGTCATGCTAGAACTCCAGAGAATGACTGAGTGTGGATGGTGGGCCTCAACCTGGGGCAGCAGCTCCATTGAGAGAAGACAAAGGAGACGGATGTGATGAAGACCAAGGCCAGTGGGCTGGGGGTGGGAGTGGCCGGGCCAGAGCAGCTCTAGCAGCAAAGATGAATGAACTTCACTGCGTGAGAAAGCTGAGGGCAGGGCGGGCCAGGACTCATGAGCTGAGTTCCTGTTGCTAACTTGACACACCTCATTTCAGATCCCGTCATGAAACCTGAAATCTCGACGGTGGCCCTGGGCGGGAGTTTAGCCCAGTGTCTCTGCTGTCTCATCTGGACCCGCGGTTTCCTCACGGGCTTCTCTGTTTTGCAGAAGCTGGCATCAGACCCCCGGTGTAAAGGAATGCCCCTGTCCAGCTTCCTGCTGAAGCCCATGCAGAGGATCACGCGCTACCCGCTGCTCATCCGAAGTGTGAGTCCTCGGGTGACTGACTCAGGAGCAGGACCCACCCGGCTGGACAGAGGCCGGACACCCAGGGAGCAGTGATCCCTCTGCCCCTCGCCCCTGTGTGTAGTCCGAAGGCTACGGTCTTAAAGTGGGCGGATAAAAGCAGGCTCTAATGCCATCCGCCTCCACAGGCACAGCCCTAGCATCCCATGGTCACAGCGTGCTGGTGGGCAGGGTAACGGCCCTCATCAACCAGAGAGAACATTGAGTCACCATGACCAGAACCGCGGGCTCCAGCCTTTCTTCTTGAGATAGGATGCTTTCTAAGGAGAATACAGGTTTTATAAAGTGACATAGTGAATTTTCTGCCAGCTTAGACTTCAGAGACCCTGGCTCAAAAAGCCAAAACCACCCACAAAAAACACAGGGCTTAAGTTATTAGGGAGACCGGAGAAGGCCGCCATTAGCCCGTGGCCTATTATCAAGACTCAGATCCATAGCGTCCTGTCACCCCCTGTCTTAGTTAGCAGCCCTTGTGGGACTCTGTGCTTCCCCGGGTAGATGCCATTACCTCTCCTCTCACGGGGAGGTGGGCAGGGGGCAGTGTTCACCTGAGGCCTCACTCACGTAAGCAGCAGGGCAGGGTGAACAGGAGTCAGTAGACGCCTGGTGGGCAGGCTGACCCAGAGGGACCCACACGACACTGCCCACTGTCTTCCAGATCCTGGAGAACACGCCACAGAATCACGTTGACCACTCCTCCCTGAAACTGGCCCTTGAACGAGCCGAGGAGCTGTGCTCTCAGGTGAACGAGGGAGTTCGGGAGAAGGAAAACTCGGACCGGCTGGAGTGGATCCAGGCGCACGTGCAGTGTGAAGGCCTGGCCGAGGTGAGGCTGTGGGCAGAGGTGAGGCTGTGGGCAGAGGTGAGGCTGTGGCCGAGCTGGAGGCACCAGGCAGTTCTGGGTAGGGAACCCGCACCACACCCTCCCTCGTGTGGACAGCCACACTCCCTGACCGTGCGGGCTCACCATCCTGCCCTGCAGGACACCCCCTGGACTGCTCTCCTGCCTTGGGAAGAGAGGCAAAGTGGGGTTTTGTTGTGAGTTCTTTGAATTTTACTGGTAGAAATCAGTAGAGTCAACTGTTGATTTTTCACAAGGCCGGAGGGAATTCTAAGAAGTGATAAATGGGAAGTGTTTGTATTTGTTCTAGAAAGGTGTGTCATTCTAACTATATTACCACCTAGAAAATCTTACCACAGTACCTCAGGTGCTGGACACTGGCATTTCACGGGCAGTGGGGCTATTTTCTCTCAGACTTACAAAGTGCCATTTTCTTCTCTTTAAGCAACTTATTTTCAACTCCCTCACAAACTGCCTGGGTCCCCGGAAGCTTTTGCACAGCGGGAAGTTATATAAAACCAAGAGCAATAAGGAGCTGCACGGGTTTCTCTTCAACGACTTCCTGCTGCTCACCTACATGGTCAGGCAATTCGCCGCCGCCTCCTCCTCCGAGAAGCTCTTCAACCCCAAGTCCAGTGCTCAGTTCAGAATGTATAAAACGGTGAGCCCCGACGTCTGCCGCAGACGGAGACCAAGGAGGCTCCACCTTGACCTAAGCACAGACACACACACACACACACACACACACACACACACACACACACACACACACACACACGACCTCCCACCCTCACCCCCGCTTCACGTGGCTCTCAGCGTCCTTTACCACCTCCCAAGGGTGCCAGACTTGGGCTGCCTGCTGCTGGGACAGCGGGAGCTTCCTCCTGGCAAGCGGGACAGCAGCATGTCACGGCCAGCATTCATCTCCGTAACTCAGGACATCAAGCCAGGTGTCAGAGCCGAGCCTGTCACAGCCGCAGCACAGGCGCTCAGAGCTCCTGTCCCCAGCTCGGGGACACTGACTTGGTCCTGGGTTTTACCAAAGAGGCTTGCTTTTCTTCCTGGGTAAAAGACCTCGGGCACCAGGCCCCCTCTGCTTCTCCACGGGCTCCTCAGAACTTTGAAAATTGCTCTCAGGACACGGTGGGTGGAGTGTTGGGGTCCGTCTCACATTTTCTCACCTGTCTTGTCCCCGATTCTTTCAGCCCATTTTCCTGAATGAAGTGTTGGTGAAACTGCCCACAGACCCTTCCAGCGATGAACCTGTCTTCCACATTTCCCACATTGATCGGGTGTACACCCTCCGAACAGACAACATTAATGAGAGGTCAGTCCCGAAGACGTGTGCCCTGTCCTGAACTCTAGGAGGAAGCACAGGCATGTCCCTGTGCCATAGGCCCGTGGCCACTCGTGACCAAGTCCTACTAACTCTGAACCTAGCCTCTCACGTGCCCCTGCACTCCAGCCCCACAGTAGGCCCTGGCTAAGTTACACACACAGCTGCCTACTCATAGTTACCTGCTTCCTGTCTCCCACAAGCTCCCAAAATGGCAGATCCATGCCTCAGTCCCCACTAAAATCTCCCTGGGGGCTGCCTGAACCCCGCAGATCTGCATCCCATCCCGCAGACTTGCACTTGGCCAGATGGCTGCCGCCCCCACCACCACCACACACACACACACGCACACGCACACGCACACACGCCCACCACCATGCTTCCCTCCGGTGGAGCTCCCGGGGTAAGCGCCCTGATGGCAGCCCCGGGGACACTGCTGTTCCTCTGCACCGGTCTCTGGTGACTGCCCACCATGCTGAGTGCCATCAGTGTGGCTGTCTGCTAGCTCGGGGCTCCTGTTCCCTCACAAGGGCCTCGTGTTGTCCAGAGCTATCTTTGGCAAGCCTGGGCTCTCTCTGATTAGCAGTCCGGTCTGTCACTTGGGCTAAGATTAGGCGTGACTGGAAACCTGCTAAAACAAGCTTGAAACCAAGGTTAGCGAGGGAGCGGGCTGCCACTGGGGGCTGTGCTTGAACCCAGGAGTGCCTGGCAGTCCTCAGGCCACCATTCTGCTCTCCTCCAGGACAGCCTGGGTCCAGAAGATCAAGGCTGCCTCTGAGCAGTACATCGACACCGAGAAGAAGAAGCGGGAGAAGGCTTACCAAGGTACCTGCTGGTGCCCCGTGGGTGGGAACCAGCTCCCGAGGGGTACGGGCAGACCCGAGGCTGGCCTTCGAGGCACCAGCTGCTGCCCCTGCAGTGAGGCCTGGAGATGGCCTCAGACGACAGCAGAGGAGCCTGGGTACCCCTCCCTCTGCAGGTGTTCCCAGCTGCCCTGAGCACCACCACATGCTGTGGGACCAGATGCAATGCCTGCCTTCTCTCTGCAGCCTTCCTACCCCTACGCCCCCCCACTCTGCCGACCATCCTCCCCCTGGTGGGGCGCGTCTTGTCCCTCGAGTCCATTTGCTGGGCATGTCACTCTGCTCCTCTCCTCTCAGCCCTGCCTCCACCATCCTGGCCTTCAGGACCCTGGGCCCCATTGGCCCCTCCAGCACCTCAGTCCCATCACTCCTTGGCACACATCTTCCCCCGTTGCCTTGTAGATGGCACTTTCAAGGACACTAGTAACCTACCCATTCCTTGTTCCAGCTTCCCATACTTACACACACACACACACACACACACACCCCTCCACCTCCTCTTAGCCTGAGGCTCCTGCACAGCTTCATCTGACTTCCCAGCTCTCTTTCCTCCCCTCTTCCTGGGACTCTACCCTTCCAGCATCGTGCCCCTCAGACCACCCTCGCATGGGTTCATACCTCCTGGCAGGCTCAGTGGTGGGTCATGGCTACTCTCCACAATCCCATCATTACAGACAAGCCCTCTTCAGCAGTTCTGCTGCCCCAGGCCTGTGTCCTTCACGGAGGCTCCCTCAGCCTCTTCTCTTGAAGGTACTGTTCTCCCTTTCTGTGTGCCAGCCCCCTGCCTCAGCATCCTCCCTTCTGTGTGCCAGCCCCCTGCCTGAGCATCTTCCTTTTTTGTATGCCAGCCCCCTGCCTCAGCATCTTCCCTTTGGCCTCCCAAGCTCGGGCTCATCCCCACCAGTGCCCCATTTCCCACTGTCTCGCCCATTGCTCTCACCGCCCACTGCCAGGCCTTCCCCTTAGGATTCGTCCCGTCCTTTACGGCCCAAGGGAAACTCTGGCTCCTCTTGGCACCTAGTAGCAGCCATGCTCAGCTAAGTCTGCACTCTTCTTCAGACTTGGCTTCTCTGAAGTCACCACTGACCCCTGGGGAGGAAGGATCTGCATGTCACACTGTGCACTCTGTTCATGCGACAGATTGTCCACCAGCTCAGTGTCCTGCAGGATCTTGGGAAAGCATCCTTGGCCCCCAACCTCCATGCCAATGCCAGGCCCCATCTTCTGCCCCACCCCAGCTCTTTACCCATTGGAGGCCTGCCCCTCCATTCCTCCTCACCCCCCACCCCTCCTCCACCCCCTGCTCCTGTCCAGTGATCCCACTCAGGCCCTTGCTGCTGAGGCCAAAGCTCTTTATGTGTTTTTACTCAGGTTCCCCCTATTTTGTTCTGTGCTCCTGAAGGTATGTATACATGGCGTTTTCCTAAGTGAATGCTATTTTAAAAGCTTGCTATTGAAAAATCGATGATTGATTTCATAAAATACATAATGACCTCTTAATTTGTCAAAAGTGCAAATCACGGTTTTTCCTGAGTTTCTTGTTGTCTGATAGATTGCTCTGCGTTCTCTCTGGGTGCAACCCTTTAGACATGGTTATTTGCTGTGTGCCTGGTCCTGTGTGTGTGTGTGGTGTGCACAGTGGGGCTCTAGAGACAACCAGGCCAGGCTCTGCCTTAGGGAACAAGGGCGTGCTCCGTGGTGGAGACCTGAGCCTGTCAGGGAGCGGGCCACTGCTCAGAGACAAGGCCACACACCACTGAAGCTGGAGGTTGAGGCCAGGCGGCCTGGGATACCTAGCAATAACTTGTCCAAACAGACAAAATAAAACAAAAACCCTGAAGGAAAAAAAGGGTGGGAAGGCTGCACATGCTCAGAGACACCGAGCCTCCTTTCTGCTTTCCAGGCTTTTGTCTGCTTGGCCATCAGTGTGAACACAGGACTCACTTCTGTCCACATTAAATAGATCAAACCTGAAACAAGACTGCTCACCAAGGCCAAGTTCTTACATGTAACTGAAGCTTTGATGCGTAGTTCACACTTGACCTTTTCACCTGCCCTTTAAAAACTCTGGGCCTGCTGGGACGACACACCGTTAGTCCCAGCACTCTGGAGGCAGAGGCAGGCAGATCTCTGTGAGTCCAAAGCTAGCCTGGTCTACAGAGCAAGATCCAGGCCAGTCGGGGCTACTCAGTGAGTCTGTCTCAAAATGACACACAAAAAGGGGAAAACTGTTGAGTTGAAGTCAGGTCACTGAAACAGAAGGATTCCAAGTTCAAGGCCAGCAGCTTGGAATAGAATGAGACCCTGTCTTTTAAAAACCTGTGAGTTGACCCCGGTGGTGGTAGCACACGCCTTTAATCCCAGCACTCGGGAGGCAGAGGCAGGCGGATCTCTGTGAGTTCGAGGCCAGCCTGGGCTACAGGGCGAGATCCAGGACAGACACCAAACCTACACAGAGAAACCCTGTCTCGAGAAAAAAAAAAAAAAAAAAAAACCTGTGAGTTGAGCACATGGTCCTTCCTAAGACTCAGTTTCCCTCATCTATAAAATGGGAACTACCTTGTAAGGCAATTATGGAATTAAATATAATCCATGTAAAGATCTAGCACATGCCTCACACAAAGTAACGAGTGAATGTCATTTGTCAGAAGTACTGAACCAACAGCATGCATTTTAAAATTAATATTACTATTCCTAGGCATATATGTAGTTACTAAGCCTGGATAATCAGTCTATGTGACGCAGTGGCTTCTCCCTGACAGAGGAGACTGGCAGGGTGCAGAATCCCAGGCCCCTGCAGGCTGTGGGTGCCCCTCAGTCATAGTGACACACAGAGGGAAGGAGGCTGAAGTGACTGAGACTAGCCCCGACCTTGAAGGATGAGTGAGATTCTGATGGGCAAAGACAGCCAGAGAGGCATCCCTAGCAGATGACGCAGCCTGGAAAAAGCAACCAAATGCTAGCCTGCTAACTCCAGAGCAACAGCCGATGATAATAGCGTTCGTCTAGGCTCATGGTCTGGTTGGTTAGAAGGACACACAGTGAGGGCTGGGAGCACAGCCGCTGGTATAATGTGCCCTTAACGTGACGCTCAGTCTCCAGGACCTGAGACAGACTGCAGCCCTTCAGCATTGCGCGTCTTCACTGTGGTCTGTCTACACTCTCCGAGGAGAAATTAACGCGACTCATTTCCTCTTTTGTAGCCCGTTCTCAAAAGACTTCAGGTATTGGGCGTCTGATGGTACATGTCATTGAAGCTACAGAATTAAAAGCCTGCAAACCTAATGGTAAATGCTGCTTTTATTCCACAGATGTGGGAACACCCTGCTCCTTGCTGGTACCTCTTTTGAATATGGAATGATGGGTAATTTTTTGAAGGCAGTGTTGCTGGTGTTTCTAGAACCCTGATAAACTATTTATTGGTTCAGTATCACTCACTGTTTCCAGTAAGAACCAGCAGCCCATCTTGATTGTTACTGCATGAAAATACACAGCATGCCACAGGGCACCTTCCCAGGCTGTCGGGGAGTAGTCCTGTGTTAGAACGTACACTTGCTCCCCGGGATTATGGTGTCATTGGGAACGTGGGGCCATACCGCCACTAGACTCGAAGGTGAACATGTCCCACCAGGCAGTGGCACTTCCTGCTGTGGTCTCTGGTGAAGCAGCCTACAGGCCCGCCCTGGTCTCCCTCTGTACTTAACACGCTGCATGTGTCCCTGGCTTGTCTCTGCAGGGAAGAGCAACCCGTACTGTGAAATCAGCATGGGCTCCCAAAGCTATACCACCAGGACCCTCCAAGACACACTGAACCCCAAGTGGAATTTTAATTGCCAGTTCTTCATCAAGGATCTGTACCAGGATGTGCTGTGTCTCACGATGTTTGACAGAGACCAGTTTTCTCCAGATGGTGAGTGTAACCTGGCACAGAGGCCCAGAGGTATCCCCAGTATTGTGGGATCTGGAGTCTGTACCCAGGGTCCGAAGCTGTGCTTGTAACCCATGACCACCACAGGAAATGACACGGCCATGGCAGCTTCGGCAGGAGGTGGGTGTTTGGGGAGGGCATGGCCTCTGAACAGACACTTGTGCATACACAAGGGAAACAGTAGTGAGCACCGGATGGGTGGAACATTGTCTCGTCAGTAGACTCCCTGAGCCGTCACGGTGCATTTGTCCACGTCAGTACCAAAGGTCCATGAGCAAATGAGCCACTCCCGCGGGGTCTGCAAGTTTTCTAAATCCTGTTCCAGACTCCCCTGCTTGGCAAGTTTTTAACTCTTAGAAGGAACAAAGATATTTGATCCTCACATGATGTTTACTCCCCAGACTTCCTGGGTCGCACTGAAGTCCCCGTGGCAAAGATTCGAACAGAACAGGAAAGCAAAGGCCCTACGACCCGCCGACTGCTGCTGCACGAAGTCCCCACCGGGGAAGTCTGGGTCCGCTTTGACCTGCAACTCTTTGAACAAAAAACTCTCCTCTGAGGGCCTGAGAAGCCCCACCAGAGAAGCTGCCCGCAAGGCTGGGTCTAAAGAATGAAAGATTACGTTCTCCTGGGGCCGAGGAGCATGGCATGCCTGCGTCCATCACAAAGCCCCACGCGGGGCCTGTATGTTATTGCACACTAAACTGCTAGCAATCTATGCAAACATGATCTTTCCTATAAACCAACGCCACAGCACAGTGCCTTGTTCTAGTGTTAACATGCTCAGCTGTGTTAGGTGCCAGGGTTTCCATTTTCAGGGCTATAAAAGTATTATGTGGAAATGAGGCATCAGACCACCAGACGTTACCACTGGGCGGACGTGTCCACTGTGGAGTTGGTGATGGTGGAGCAGGTCCACCCACGTGACCTCTGCTGGGTCACAGCACTCAGGAGGTGAAGGGCTGAGGTGAAATGCTGCAGCCGGGGGCTTGTGCAGCCTGATATGAAATAGCATCCACTTGTGCACTGAATAACCAGAAACTTGACCCTTTTATTCTGATGATATTTTACCCTTCTCTGCTCAGACAATAGAGTTTGAAATACAAGGAGGGAAGCTTGACGTACTTTAGATATACTGTGAACTCTAATAATGTGGGAATATTTTTCAACTTTAATTTTCTGAAGTATAAATTATTTATGTAAATTCCTTGTTTTGCATATTTCATAGAACATGCATCTTTAAGCTTTATCATTGCCAACATGTACAGAAAGAGAATAAAAGTATAAGTTTATGAATGTAACTCCTCTCAAAGCTTGACTCTGTGTGTGAAAGGCTTTTAACGGTTTCCTTCAGAAGCTGCTTATAATGATGCCTGAAGGATGGGATGGGGCAGGGCCCGGAGAGCTGCTCAACTCTACTGCCAGTTTGCCCAGGGCCTTTTGAGCATCTGACAGGGTTCTGGGGCTTGATTTCACTGGTGACTATTGTGGGTGGGTAAACTGCGCGGGAACTATGCTTGAACCGACGGGGGTGGAGGGGTGGACGACACATACAAGGAAGGGTGAAGGGCAAAGGTCAGGACTATCTGCAGATCAGTTGCCCTGCAGCTCCAGGAGCCCCGACACTTCCTGTCCCCTGCCCTGTCACAGCCATAGCCACACTGCTTATTTGGCTTTTGAACACTGAAATATGAAAATTTTCAAATAGTTAGCCAAGATTTTGAACACAAACTCCTCCAGTGAAGGTAACAGAGTAGAGGCTCACCCTTGGAAAGAATCACTTGAACAGCTAAGGTGACAGATCTTTTTCCAAGCAGCTGGAGTAACCAGGAGGGGCTTAGGGCTCTTTCCCTTCTCCCCATTTTTGTTGACAAAGAATCACTTGGAAAACACTGAGTACTGAAATTTTAAAGACGTGCCCCTTACTCCCTCCAGATACTGCCCCCACACACCCCCTGGTTAAAACAGAGAAGTGCTGTCACTTGGTACATAAAACGGAAGCGAGCAGCATCCTGCTTATCTACAGGAAGCTTTGAAGGACCAGGCCCAGCCTGCTGAGCAAGCCGGCTGCGGCTCCCCTGGCTCAGGGAGCATGTCTGGTTGGTGCTGAAGCAGGGTGGCGGTGAAGTCGGCAAGAGTTGCCGCCGACAGCCCATGCGTGGAGCATGACACTCGGTGGCAATCCGGCAGCTTTAAAGCTGCTCAACAACCATACTCTTTCCCGGGGCTGTGGGGACCTCAATGCTCACTGAAGCGTGGCCACCATCAGGTCCCTGTCTCTCAACAGTCCGGACACCGTGGTCAGATCTGGGACACAGGAGCCCTCGGGATCGGAGTCATGTGGCTTTGGTGACCAGAGAGGGTACAGCCAGCAGCAGCTCCAGTTGTCTTTTCTACCTAGTGACCCAGAACTGCCCCTGAGGAAGTGCGGCTGTCGTCCCCACGGAAATGTGAGCCCAAGTTTCTGGAGGGTGAGAGGAGACTCCCCCCATCCAGGAAGCCCGTAGCCCTCAAACAACAAGACGCCTCCCCTTGGTGAGGAGGCCCCATCAAACCCCTTCAGCGCCCCCCTGGAGGCGGCATGCAGTGGCCGGGCATCCTACAGGATCCTGGATCCTCATTTGACGTCCCCTACTCGCCTGCCTGAGTATCTGTGAGGACAGAGCACCCTGGAGTGTGAGCAGGACCGAACTTGAATGAAGCCCCGGGCCAGACACCGAGCCCCTGGAGCACCAAGTACTGGGAGATGGTAAAGCTGTTTTGCGGCTAGTGTTTCAGGGAAACGGAAACACCACACACACACTTCCTAGTTCACAGCCGGAGCTTGAAAAAAACTGACTGCTGTTACTCAGATAGTTCTTGCACCCGCTTCCAACCTAGAGAAACGCTGCGTTCTGGGTGGTGTGTGTGTGTGCAGCGGTGTGTGTGTGTGTGCGCAGTGGGAGGGCCGGCAGCTCTAGGACCACTGCAGGCCGGACCTGGCCGCCCCCTGCAGGGAGGCCAGATGCTTGCCCAGGAGCTCCGCCGTCATCACTCGTCTTCCCACGGCCGGGGCCGCCTGCCGGTGGCGGCTGTCTGCGGCCGCCCAGGAGCGCGGTCTCGGGGGTTGGGTCCCTGAAACCTGTTCACAGGAGAAAAGGACTGTCTGTCGTGTTGATTGAGCAGGCTCCCACGAGAGGGAGGACCCCACACACACACACACACAGGCCTGACCCACAGCCGAGCCCTCTAGCCTTGCAGACAGGCTCCCAGCCAATCCGTTTGCCTCCCTTCCCCCGACGGCGGCTGCGGTTCTCGGGGGGGAGCCTCCATGGCTTCAACTCCACCCGCCTTTATGGTATGGCAGAGAGGACTGGCTGTCCCTGAGCACTCCCCTCCACTGTCTGCCCCTCCAGGGGCTGCTTTCCTCAGCACACTGGCACCCAACAGTCAGGGACAGCCATGTGACTGGGTCCTAGCCCCGAAAACCTAAGAGGAAGGGACGCTGCCGCCTTTGGTCCGGTCCCACATAGACAACGTTAGCAGGTTAGGACTTAGACTTCGCTCTGCAAGCATTTCTCACATCACCCAAGCGCTTCCACAAAATGAACTGCAGAAGCACACCAAGCGGGTAAGACGTGAGCCGTGTGGAGACTCAGACCCCAGTCACTTCTGATTCTGTCACCGAGGTCCGTGTCCTCCACGAACCAGCTGTTAGTACCTGTGTGTACTTTTCAATGATGGGGATTAAGCCCAAGATTTTGTGCAAGCACTGAGATACACCTCCACTCTGATAGAAAATCTATTTTTTTTTCAGCTGAGCAGTGGTGATGCACGCCTTTAATCCCAGCACTTGGGAGGCACAGGCAGGCGGATCTCTGTGAGTTCGAGGCCAGCCTGGTCCAGCCTGGTCTACAGAGGGAGTTCCAGGACAGCCAGAACTACATAGTGAATATATATATATATAGTGTGTGTGTGTGTGTGTGTGTGTGTGTGTGTGTGTGTGTGTCTGACTGATAACTGGGGGGAGTGCTGTGAACCTGGCATGGCTGTTCCCCTCATGAGCTCACAGCAGCTGTGGTACTTAGTCAATCCAGCCAGAATTCTGGCATAGATGGGTGGGGGTGATCCCCAGACCCACCGAGGAGCTCTTGGCAGTTTAGAAGTGCTGAGGGAAGGAGACTCTTTTTCTTCGTTTAATGTGGCGCCAGTGGGAGGTTCCCTACACAGTGTGGACGGGCCCCCAACCGTCCACACGTGGGCTGCACTAATGGTACTTAGTGGGTTATCAAGGAGGAGGAGGAAGAGGGAACCTTGACGACAGGACGTGAATTTGGGAAGGGGCTGTGTTGAGAGTCGTTTGGGGAAGTTGGGAGAAACGGGGGGTAGACATGATGTTTCACTGTATACGTGTGTGAAATTCTCAGGAATGAAGAAAGTTAATACAACAACTTCTGAGTTTTCAAGCTGGAGAGACCCCTCGGGCTCTCGGCATGTGGTGGAGGTAAGGGAGCGCCCACGTGCTATGTGCCACGCTCTCGGGGGCTCTAAGCTCTGTGACTAAGCCTCAAATGGAGAGAAGGGGAGACAAAGAGGCCAGGAGCCCTGCAATCCTTAGCCCTGCATGCAAAAATCTGTGCTGGGAAAATTCCCTTTAAAATATGTAAAAGCTCATTGTGTCTGCCGTCTCTTTTTCTTATATTTCATTTTTAAATTTCCTACTATAACTGAATTAAGAACATTTTTTTTTGTTGCTGGTGGTGGTAGTATTTTGATACAGGGTCTTTCTGTGTGACCAGGCTGGCCTGAAATTCTTTTTAATGTTTAAAAGTGTTATTAAATGTGTATGGGTGTTCTGCCTGCATGTATGTGTACCACACATATGCAGTACCCACGGAGGCCGGAAGAGGGCATCGGATCCCCTGGAACTGGAAGGTTGTTAGTCCCTGTGTGGGTACTGGGAATTGAACCTGGGTCCTCGGGAAGAGCAGCCAGTGCTCCTAACAGCTGATCCATCTCTCCAGCCCCTCCCTGGTCTAGAATTTTCTACCCTCCCACCTCACCTTCCAAGGGCTAAGATTGCAAGTGTGCAGCACCAAGGAATAAAATGTTTGATCTGGTTTCAATCTGGTTTCAGTGACTAGGAAATGGTAGAAAACTGCCAGAGGGTAGAAGGCTCAGGAAAGAGGGGGGTGGAAGTTGGTGGTGAACCGGCTCTGGCCAGTCTTCTGGGCCCTCACCTTGTAAAGACAGGTCTGCACTTGTATTCGGGACCCACAGACACTGTGTTTCCAAGTCCCTTCCCTGCTCAGTGCCCATCAGGACAGAGGAACTGATCACCAGACCCCCAACCATCTCACTGAGGCTCCCTGCTGCGGGGAAGGGCTCTGCCAGGCTCCGCTCTTGCGCTGGGGTTGGATGTACAGTCGTGGGTATCCACCCAGCCCCACTCCCAGACCTCCGCTTACCAGACACTTCTCAATCTCTTTGTTCTCCGGCCTGAGCTTAGAGGAACGGAACTGCCTTTCAAAGGCAAGCTGGCTTAGGTTGGGGGTCTCTTCTTCCTGAGGCAGATATGACTTTGATTTACAGACAGGCTTTTCAAAACTGAGAAGAAAAGAGAGGCGGAAAAAAAAATCTCAACTCAGCACAAACAATTCTACCATTCAAAAGTCATTGAATGAACTCGATATTCGTTTTGTGAAAAGAAAGGGCTGACCAGACATCACTGGTGCCTGTCCCTCTGCTCGGGTTGGGATAATGTCCCCTAAAGGTCCACAAGGGAAGGCTTGGGCCCCAAGGGTGGTGGTTTGGGGAGTGCCATGGACCTTTAAAGGGTGAAGTGAGAGGTCTGGAGGTGAAGGGACTGTGGAACCCTGGTCTCTCCCTGCTTCCTGAGCAGTCTAACTCTACAGAAACGCCTGCCGTGGTATTGCTCCCCTATCAGAGGCCCAAAGCAACCGAGGCTACTACTTGATTGCAAACTTCGTCCCGCAAAACTAGGAGCTGCACAAACCTCTCCTAAGCCAAGTGCCTCAGGTGAAGCTGGCTACCAGGGCTATCAGGTGAGTCACGGGACCTTTCTGCAGCTGTGGCTGAGGGAGTCTCTCAATCCTCCGACCTGGGATTGGAACAGGAGGGCGGCTGGGAGGTATATAAGGTATATAAGGCGTGAAAACCAGGAACTAGGCTGGTTAAGCTTTCAGGCTTTTGAGAAGCAGCTCAGCTGAGATCTATTTGGATGAGGACTCAGAGGCTTCCAGTCTGAGGAAACAGGATTAGCTGAGAAGTTGGCCAGGTGAGGTGGCTGTGGCTTGTTCTGCTTCTCTGATCTTCCAGCATTCACCCCCAATACCTGGCTCTGAGTTTGTTTTATTAATAAGACTCTTTAAGATTCATGCTACATCTCTATTGATTTGGTACAATTTTTAAATCAATTTAATACCTAATAGAGTAGTTTTCCTATAAATTTAGAATTAGCTCCATTTCTATATAGACATGAACACACACACACACACACACTTCAAACAAATATCTGTAATTTTATTCAGATTGAACTGAATATGTTTGAGAACTTTTCATGTTTACAGTTTTGAGGGTTCTGATCCATGAACATGGTATATCTTCCCACTAATTTGGCACTTGTTTGTTTCTCTGTGCAGTCCTGACTGTCCCAAACTCACTCCATAGACCAGGCTGGCCTCGAACTCACAAAGATTCGCCTGTCTCTGCCTCCCGAGTGCTGGGATTAAAGGCGTGTGCCACCACCACCCGGCTAATTTGGTTATTTTATTCCTCTTAAAGTAGTTCTCAATTAGGACTGATTTTGCCCTCAGAGTAGTATTTGGAAATAATTCTCATCAACAGGGAAGCGAGGCCGTATGGATAGAGGGCAGGGATATTGCTGAAAAACCTATAACAAAGTTCCTCAATACAAAGAATTTTCTGGTCCCAAATACCAATAAGTAGCATGTATGAGAAATCATGTATAAGAAAGATCCTGTGGTCCTGTGGATGGCTAGAGGTATTCTTATTTTGTTACTATTACACATAATTTCATTTTCTGGCTAGATATAGATGAATACAAATGATTTGTGCATTGACTTTGAATTTGATAATCTTTCTAAACTTTATTACTTTTCAATATCTTAGTTAATTCTTTGAGAACTTCATACATGTATACAGTGTACTTTGGTCACAGTCATCCCTCATTGCTCCCCTAACTCCTCCCAGATTAATTTCCCATCTCTCATCCCTCATCCCCTCCCAACTTCATGTCCTCTTTGTTTTTAAATAACCCACCAAGTCTAATGTGTGCTGTCCATATACTCATGAGGGTGGGGGGCCGTCCACTGGAGAAAGGTCAACCTACCCCGGGGTCACACCGTCAAGAAAAAATTACTCCCCTTCTCCTAAAAGCCATCAACTGTCAATATCCTCTTAGCTAGGGGTGGGGGCTCTTGAGCCTCTCACTGCAATTTTTAATTTTTAATATTTATTTATATTTCAGGGTAGTCAGGGCTGCACAGAGAAACCCTGTCTCAAAAAAAAACAAAAAAAACAAAAATTATTTATAGCCTTTGAGTTTTTCTATGTACAGCCTCATATTATCTGTTAAAAATGAAGGGTTTATTTCTTGTTTTCCATTTCTTTTACCTTTTATTTCTCTCCCTTCTCTTATTAATTGAGGTCTTTGTCACAAATCTGAAGTGAGTTTCTTTGTCTGATTCATAGACTCAAAGGAAAAGCTTCTAGTGTTTTCTAGAACTCTACTACAAATTAAGTAAGCTAATTTCTATTTCTCTATACTATGAGCTAATTTGGGGGAGTGTGACTAGATCTTTCATTTTTTTAATACTACATTTATTGAAATGATTATGACTTTGTTCCTACTTTGTTCTGTTAACATGAAAGGTCACACTAGCTTTCAAAAACTACTTTGGTATAAACACTTAAAAATATACTGAATCTTGGGAGGCAGAGGCAGGAGGATCTCTGAGTTCGAGGCCAGCCTGGTCTACAGAGCAAGTTCCAGGACAGCCAGGACTGTTACACAGAGAAACACTGTCTCAAAAAAAATTAATTTTTAAATACATAGATATATACCACCCAAGTTCAGTAACCACACCGTTACCACACCCTTCCCTCCCATTTGCTACCCTTTTTTTTTTTTTTTTCCTCTCTTTTCTGGAAGATTCCCTAGAGCTCATGCTAGCTGACTTATCTGGTTACTCTGTACCTGTAGGTGCTGGGCTTGTTCCAAGCAGTCCGGGGAGGAGCTCTCTGCCTCTCTTTGGGAACAATGCCATGGGAAGCATGCATGAACTGGGGTGATCTGCCGAAGTGGGGTGCCTTCCTGGTTTCTTTAGTGTGTTCTTTCTGTGTGTCGTTCTGTTTCCCTACAGGAAGACACAAGAGCAAAATCCGACTCTTTAAGAACAACTCCTGCGCTCCTGGGGGTGGGGGGAGGGGACACTCGGCTGAGTCTACCGCGCAGCCTCTGGTCACCTGCGCTCTGTTGGTAGCTGGACCCCTTTATTTCTCGGAGCTCTTGCTGTCTTCGAAACAGACACTCACATGGTGGAGAGGCTTTGGTCTGCGGGAGAAAATGAGTCTTTGAGGGCCCCCGCAAGAGTTCACAGTGAGCCGTTCCAATCCGGCCCTAAGTACCCTGGTGAGGCCTTACTCCACCAAAGTCAAGATCAAGACCTACGAGTGCCGTCAGCCCACGTGCCGAGAGAGAACCTGCCTCCCACGGGGATATTTCACTGAACTGTAAATGCTGAAGGCAGGAAGGAGGGAAGCCTGGCCACATGGAAGGGACAGCTTCTGCTTGTAGCTTTACTAAACCATTCCATCCGTTAATAATATTTGCTCAGCCGTTCCATACTACACCAAGGCCAAGTCCGTCCTCATGGGTTTCTGAGTCTAGAACGGACAAACCACCCAAGTGACAACGTGGTTATGAGAGACACCAGCTCATGCCTGTAGGAGCACAGACACTATTCCTAACCAGTCCTGAGAGGAAAAGTCCCTCCCCCCTTGGGACACTCCTACTGCTCTTAAAATGGTGAGAGGATCGGGGTTAACGATCATAAGCCTGTGTCAGGGTGTGGGAGGGACTGAGGCCATCAAAGAGGAAATTCCTCTCTAAGCAGAAGCCTTAGGAAGAGGGCCTCTTCGGCTCTTCTCTACTTCTACAATCCTGTAAGATCACACTCTTGGATTTCAACATATTTTCGATTACATCTTAAGTTCCTGCTCTTGAGACATTCAGGAATTCATATTTAATGCACACTTTCTGAAATTCTCTTCATAAATCTACTTGATGGTGCCCAGTGTTTCTAATGTTCTACCCAAACTCTTCTGTATCTCTAGTAAATACTTGGGGTTGAGAGACCCAGCAAACCAAACGGCAAAGATCCTATAGGACATATAACTCCAGGAGGCTTAAATCTGGTGCTGCTATAAATAATGAGGACATAAATTCCTGAGGAGGCTCCTGACCTCCAAGTGAAAAACATCCTCAAAATAAGACACTGAAATGGTGTTTGTAAAGACACAACAAAGAGAACCGTCTGTCCCTAAGCTTAACGGCTCCAGGCTGCACCGCCGTAACAGTCCCCTTCTCCCTCGCCCACTGCCTACCGCAGAGACTAGAATGTCTCACATTCTCCTTCCCAGCCCTGCTCAGAACTAGGACTTGCCATTTGAGGCAGTCCCGGTAAAGAGAGCTGAAAGGTCTCCTAGGGGATGCTGGCGACTCTGCTTCCTAATCAAAGGAGAGGGGTACCAAGAGTCCCCTCCTTCTACCTCGATGCCCACCACACCCAACACCGGGAGCTGTGAGCAGCAGGGGGCGGACATGAGCATGACAGGATGACCCGGACACATCAGGACAGCAGAAGAAAACAACCGGAGAAAAACAATGACATCATAGCTTTGGAAAAGAAATGATAAAACTCAGTACCGGTTTATCTGTGTGCTTTGCACAGTATTCAAATTTCACTTCACTTTTTCCAGGTCTTCTATATGAAATTACTTTTTCTATAACTCTCTGTTGAAGAGGCTTTGCTACATTTTCAACCCATCTTCTATGTAACATTTCTCTTCTTCTTTCCTTAAAATCAGCCTCATGCTGGAAATAAGTATCCAGTCTCTGACAAAGTAATATAAACAAGACAAATCACAACATTTTTCACTCATTATTGTTTTACTAGTGAGGAGAACACACCCATTCTAAGTCTTCCCATGCATGCTTACCCACTCCTCACACCAAATAACGAACGAAGAATAAACTTCAGAGAGAGAACGTGAGAACACGGGGCAGGAAGAAAACAAGAAAAATTCCAAATCACACCGCCCCTTCGGATTAAACTGTGACCCAACTCATGAAGCCAATTAGGCCTTTCCTAACCCACCAAAGTCTTATTTCTTTTTCTTTTGTTTTTTTTAAAGATTTATTTATTTATTCTGTTTACAGTATTCTATTTGCATTTATGCCTGCAGGCCAGAAAAGGGCGCCAGATCTCATTACAGATGGCTGTGAGCCACCATGTGGTTGCTGGGAATTGAACTCAGGACCTCTGGAAGAACAGTCAGTGCTCTTAACCTCTGAGCCATCTCTCCAGCCCCTTATTTCTTTTTCAAATGTTACCCAGCCATGCATTCTGTATCTAGGCTTCGCCACAGTCTCTGCCCGCATTGAGAGAGCAAAGACACTAAGCTTGCTTTGACGATGCTCTCTGACCTATGACATGAAGCTAGCCCCAGGGCTGCTTTTGATGCTTACATGAGAATGTGGACAAGGAATTCAGTTACTGCCTAGCCCAGTGATCTCTTATGGTGTACTCAATAAACTATTTTGAGAGAGAACGAATAAATGTCTATTTACTTTGTAAATTCAAATCACAATAAAAATGTCCAAGTATTGTTATATTACCGGCTTTCAGATGGAAATTAACTTCTTTAAAGCTTGTTAACCCCATAGTGATTATTAGTAACTTAACTGGTCATTACCCTTATATACTAATTAATTTCTGGTGATTTTTATATAGCCCAATACAGTATGGAAAAAAATAGGAAAAAGAGGCAAGTTTTGTTAGAAAAGAATTTCCATTTAGTGTAAGTCAAAGAGGCGGAGCAGTTAAAAAAAAAATCTCAGACTCTTAAGGGCAGATCTGTACAAGCTGTGGGAACTTTTAGTGATCCTGTAAGGAGTGGTCATCTCAGGTCTACGCAGCTCAAAGGTGTACGTCAGAAGCACCTCGTTCTGTCTGCAAATGAGTCTCTCTGGCAGAATACCACAGCCTGAATGTAAGATGTCCCCTTGGACTCATGGGTTAGTGTTTCCTGCTGATGGGGCCAAAGAGTGGTGGAAACTTCAGAAGGCAGGGCTGGCAGAAGGAAGTTCGGTCGTCCAGAGCACGCCTTTGAAGAAAATACTGAAAATAACAAGCCCTTTCACGCCTCCTCATTTTGCTCCCTAAACACCCAGAGGTGAGCAGCTCTGGCTATTGCCTGCCACTGTGCTCTGCTGGAGCACCGCCTCCAAGTGATGGAGGGACATCACTGTGGACAGAGGCCCCTGCGTCTGCGCCAACACACACCTTTGCTCTCTCACCATCATGGCGGCAGAGCATGACATCAACTCTCGCTCCTCCAGAACGCAGTATGCAGCCACCTACCTTCACAATGTAGTTTTCTCTGAATAATATTGCATACACAGCTTCATCGATGTCTTCTCTAGCTAATATCTGAAAACGAAATTGAATGGCAGGTCAGAAATTCTGAAGGGACGATCAGAACGGCCAGTCCCCGGGTAATATTCCCGCATCGCTAGTGCAAATCTAACAGCCTGTACCTCACAACATAGTTTACCTCTTGACGACGGGAACTTGGAAATACCATTCTCCACGAACCCATAACCTAGTTTTAACAAGTGGCCACACAATCTCATTTCAGATAAACCCCTCCTCAGTCTTCCATCATCCACCTCGACTATTCTGAAACACATCCCTGGCATTACATCATGAAATCGTATTTTTGTTAGAGTTTCAGGAAGCTGAGGCTGGAGAGGTGGTTCAGCAGTCACAAGCACACTCTGCTCTTACGGAGGACCGGGTTTGATTTGGCAGCACCTACGTCCGGCAGCTCGGTTCCCAACTGCCTGCAACTCTACCTCCACAGGATCCAAGGCCTCTAGCCTCTCTGGGCACCTGCACTAAAGTACACACCCACATTTGGCACATAGTTAAAAATCAAATAAAAAATAAAGTTCCAAGAAGCTTACTAATCATTTTTATATCAAATGAACTCTCTTTTTAGACATTCACCTAAGTATATTTTAGGAGTCCCTTGAAGATTTTTGCCTTTTGCTAGGTCTCTTCACACATCGAAACCTCAAGGGTCGGGGATGTGGTTCAGTTGGTGGAGTGCTTGCCCGGCAGACACAAAGCCCTCTAAGTCGCAGGAAGTAGGTGAGGTGGTGCCTCAGGGCCAGCCTGGGTTACATGAGACCCCGTCTCAAAAAACAATTTTTTTCAGAAAACATAGAAATGTTAATGATTCATAACAGCTCCTCTGAAATCTTCTGTTCACAAACACAAAACAGTAAACTTGCCAGGCAGTGGTGGCGCACGCCTTTAATGTCAGCACTCAGGAGGCAGAGGCAGGTGGATCTCTGTGAGTTCGAGGCCAGCCTGGGCTACAGAGTGAGTTCCAGGAAAGGCGCAAAGCTACACAGAGAAACCCTGTCTCGAAAATAATAAATAATAATAATAATAATAATAATAATAATAATAATAATAATAAAACTCACAATTCACATCTCTTATTGCCATTATGACAAAGGGGGCGAGATAAATTCATTATAAACAGCTTTCTTTATAATGACACAAACCACAGAATCCAATAAAACTGCAGCTGTATGAACAAATCATTCTCAGACACGGAAGGGCAAGCTCTGGCCTGGCCCATTTACCTGCCCGGGTTACCTACCCGGCAGTCAGCTGGTGCCATTCTTCACAATGGCTTTTGGCCAAATTTGAACCCAGGCACTCCCACTCACAGAATCCTCCTGTATACCTGATCTAAGCCAAGAAGAACTGTTCTGATACTGGAAATATATGCATGATTGAGACTTAATTGGTTATAAACTCAAGGGATTTTGTGTGTCATTGAAAGATAACATCTTAAAAATAAAACTTGTAAGTACTCTGTAAGTCTTTAAGTACACTCCCTCAAGTACACCCTCAAGATTGGGCCAATCTTGACAGTGAATCCACAAGAGGAACTATCACTTGGCCCCAAATTATCTTGCTTCTTATGAAAAAGGAAGGAAGGAAGGAAGGAAGGAAGGAAGGAAGGGAGGGAGGGGAGGGAGGGAGGGAGGGAGGGAGGGAGGGAGGGAGGGAGGGAGGGAGGGAGGAAGGAAGGAAGGGAGGAAGGAAGGGAGGAGGAAAGAAGGAAGGAGGAAAAGGAAGAAAGGAGGAAAGGAAGGAGGAGGGAAGGAAGGAAGGAGGAAGAAAGGAGAAAGGAAGGGAGGAAGGAGGAAAAGAAGGAAGGAAGAGGGAAGGAAGAAGGAAGGGAGGAGGAAAGGAAGGAAGGAGGAAGGGAGGAAGGAGGAAGGAAGAAGGAAGGGAGGAGGAAAAGAAGGAAGGAGGAGGAAGGAAGGAAGGAGGAAAGGAAGGAGGAAAAGAAGGAAGGAAGAGGGAAGGAAGAAGGAAGGGAGGAGGAAGGAAGGAGGAAAGAAAGGAAAAGGAAGGGAAAAAAAAGGAAGCCATGCTATGTTACCTCCATTAAAGACACAGACTCCGGCTCCGGCCATTCCTTGAGTCTCTCCACACTGAAATGTTCACCACCGTTGGAAGTTTTTACGGCAGCCATAAATCACAGAATCCCTGAGCAAAGAAAACTGAGTTCCTACTTAGTGCATCAATGTGGAAAAAGCAGGGCCCTGGGGACTTGGAACTCGGTTTAGATGCCGCGGCTCTTTCTTGTGTCCTAGAGAACCATCCCCCTCCCCGCGTTGTCCTGGGGACCCAGAAACAGGTGACAGCACTGGCAGAATAGCCCCAGGCGGAGGGGTGATGGTCCTCGGCGGGGAGGGGCGGCCAGTTCCGGCTGCAGGCTTCCTCTTGGACGGACGCTCCTGGGCTGATGGCACCTTGAGTGGGGAAGAGTGGCCGCCCCCGGCCTCAGACCGAAGCTCCTGTGCTGGTCGCTGGTCACCTCAGGCCCTCAGGTCTCCCAGGCTGTCCCAGGGGTGGGCTGCTTGCTGCTCTGTGCAGCCTGAGCCCTGCCTGAGTCAGGTCCAGCGAGGGTGTCTCGACCCCAGTGGAAGCGCATGCGTGAAGCAAGGCCACGAGGTCTGGCCGGCCTGCAACACCAACGTCCCTGGAGAGGAAGGATGGCGTGTTCACAGCCATAGAAAACTAGAGACCACTGTCTTTAAATCTAGCCTCTCCCCTTGCCTTTCGGAGGTGTCTCTGGGCGTAAGGGGATGCCAGGGTCCCTGGTTGAAGCTTATAATGCTAGTAGTTTTATATGGGGGGGAAAAAAAGTATATATGTAGTATTTAATGTGAGTCATGATAGCAAGTTGTAAACACCCGACAAATATTAAATACTGGGAAACTATGCACTATAACAGTATCTGAACCCTTTCATATTGCATTGGAAAGCTCTCTGTGTACCCAGTCTGGCCCGGAACGTGGGATCCTCCTGCATCAGCCTCCGGAGGGAAGGATTACAGGCATGCACCACAACCTGCTTCAGGCTTTCCTGAGGACTTGTGATCCCATCTAAGGGCAGGGAAAGAAAAGGAGTCCGCTCTCTACCATCTGGAAGGGCAACTTTGGGAAACGTCTAGGAACTGCATCCGCAGTTGTGGTTGATTGAAAAGTAGGTATGGCATAGATGGAGACAGACTTGAAGTTTTCGTTGTTGAAATTGGGTGAGCGGGTCTCTTATACAATTATTTCTATTTGTATATACTTTTCTGAAATTTCCCACAATATGTTTTACAATTTGTAATTGAGTTTTCACCTGGAACCATGTGTGGATTAGAAGCAAGATACTAAGATCCTAGACACCTATGCCCTTGGAATAAGGCAGATAATAAATATGGAATGGGACAGTCCAATTACTGTCTTAAAACTCCATTTTAATGGTGTCTAGGCAGAAAGTGTAACTTAGTCACAAATCAAATGAACTGAGACAGGCTTTCGGTAAGATGGCATTTTATTGGCCCCTGCCCAAGATACTTTTTAACTTCAGAGGAAAATACACTTTTGGGGAAATGTATGTCATTTCTTTTTCTATTTTGTTTTTTGTTTTTCAAGACAGGGTTTCTCTGTGTAGCCCTGGCTGTCCTGGATCTCGCGCTGTAGACCAGGCTGGCCTTGAACTCACAGAGATCCACCTGCCTCTGCCTCCTGAGTTCTGGGATTAAAGGTGTGCATCACCACATCCATTTTTTCTGTTTTTGTTTGTTTGTTTTGTGTTGTTATTTCTTAATCATTACAGACACTGAATTCTAAATTAAAAGAAGTTTATTTCAGAGAAGAACAGAATGATTCCTAAATATCTTCCTTCATCCCTCTCAGAAGGATTCCAGCCAGCAGGTAACTTCATCTAAAGCAGCCTTTTTTTGTGGGTCCTTGCACAGATCAGGAATCAGGATGTGTGGTTGTCGGAACCTTTTGAAAGTGACAACAGAAAAGAGTTGAGTGTGCCATAGGAATAAAGGGCTTGCAGGACCAGGAAGTTCCTTGGCTATGGGAGCTGAGCCCCTGAAGCCACTCCGGCCAGAGTTAAGGCCTCTCACAGAATCTAGACATCAGCCCTTTGACATGCATTCTCTGATTATCTCATAACTTCAAATCACATATCAGATGACTCAAATATGCATGTTCAACCTAGTATCTCTTCTGACCATCGGACTACATCCACCTGCCTACTTCACAGGTCATCTGGGAGGTTGAGTTAAAAGATAAATGTTGGGGCCGGGCGGTGGTGGCGCACGCCTTTAATCCCAGCACTCGGGAGGCAGAGGCAGGCGGATCTCTGTGAGTTCGAGGCCAGCCTGGTCTACAGCGCAAGATCCAGGAAAGGCGCAAAGCTACACAGAGAAACCCTGTCTCGAAAAACCAAAAAAAAAAAAAAAAAAAAAGATAAATGTTGTTAAATAGAGCTGAATATTATTACAAATACATTTGGTTTTAGTCTTGGTATCTTTTAGGGAGTAAATATCATGTCCTAAATGTGTAAAGGTGAGTCTTACAGGATTTACAAAAGGATCAAGAACGTGTGTGTGTGTGTGTGTGTGTGTGTGTGTGTGATCTTCCTTTAATCCTAGTACTCCACAGGCAGTTAGAGATCTGTGAATCTGAGGCCAACCTGGTCTATACAGCAAATTCCAGGCTAGCAATAGCAATACAGTCATTATATCACTTAGTCATGTTAACGGCAGAAGTGAGAGCCTTTGTAATCAGAAGCACTTAGCATCTGAGGATACCTAGGGTGTGGAAAACTACCTTGAACAGATGTGCTTACTGCTTCCTTACTTATTCATCTGGGTTTTTTTGTTTTGTTTTGTTTTGTTTTTATTTTTAGAAAGAAACTGCCGGAGACTGAATTTTGCACATGCTAGGTAAGTACTATCCATTGGACTACATCCCTAGTCCCAGAACACCAGGTTCCTAGCCCTAGAAAACCAGGTTACATCCCTAGTCCCAGAACACCAGCTTACATCCCTAGTCTCAGAACACCAGCTTACATCCCTAGTCCCAGAACACCAGCTTACATCCCTAGTCCCAGAACACCAGCTTACATCCCTAGTCCCAGAACACCAGCTTACATCCCTAGTCCCAGAACACCAGCTTATATCCCTAGCCCCAGAACACCAGCTTACATCCCTAGCCCCAGAACACCAGCTTACATCCCTAGCCCCAGAACACCAGCTTACATCCCTAGCCCCAGAACACCAGCTTACATCCCTAGCTCCAGAACACCAGCTTACATCCCTAGCTCCAGAACATGTTTAAATGAACAGCTAGAGGAAAAGCTAACTTACTTAATAATCATACCCTATAAATGTACATTGTAATGGTAAAAGGTATCTTTAACTTAGCCCCAGAAAGCACTAGCTTTTTTTTTTCCATTTCTTCCTTAGTCTCTCCAAATTCCACTCTGCTGTGGGATGTTCTGTATGGCAAATGTGTTGCTCTGATTGGTCAATAAATAAATCACTGATTGGCCATTGGCTAGGCAGGAAGTGTAGGCGGGACAAGGAGGAGAATAAAGCTGGGAAGTGGAAGGTTGAGTCAGGGAGAGACTGCCAGCCGCCATGATGAGAAACAGCTTGTGAAGATGCCAGTAAGCCACGAGCTGTGTGGCAAGGTATAGATTAATGGAAATGGATTAATTTAAGCTGTAAGAACAGTTAGCAAGAAGCCTGCCATGGCCATACAGTTTGTAAGCAATATAAGTCTCTGTGTTTACTTGGTCAGGTCTGAGCGGCAGTGGGACTGGTGGGTGAGAGAGATTTATCCTGACCGTGGGCCAGGCGGGAAAACTCTAGCTACACCACTCAAACTTCTGTAGTCGTGAGTATGACCATCATCTATCCAGCCCCTCTGGACCAAAACCTCAAGAACACAGTTGACTTTGGTTTCTTGGTTTCACTCATTTCTCATATCAAACACTAACATGCTCCGAACTTGCTCACTCCTCAGGTCCCATGACCACACAGCCAGCACTAGACCTCAGGTCATTATGCTCCTGACCCAGTGCCCTGGCCTACCAGCTAGACTGCTCTGGGTTGTGTATAAGTGCCTACAAAGCAGCCATGTTCTTCCTTTATACGTGATTTTGCCAGGTGTAGTGGTGCACACCTGTAATCCTAGCAGGTGAAAGGTGGAGGCAAAAGGATGAAGAACCCAAGGCCAGCCTTAGCTATAGAAAGATCTCAAGGCCAGCCTAGGCTACATGAAACCACGAAACCCTGTTCCTAAGAAACTAGACAACCACTAATCCAAAGTGACCTAGGTGTGTCTCCCTAGTCAAAACTTGTGAATGGCTTCAGTATGAGTGGCTTCTCTTCTCCAGTCCCCTCTGGTCAACTCAGTCCCTCCCGAGCTACTGTATCAATCTTTCTTCCTGGTCACTTCCCCTAAAACTCTTCTCTCCCTCCTTTTTTTTCTTTTGTTTGTTTGTTTGTTTTTGGTTTTGGTTTTGGTTTTGGTTTTTCGAGACAGGGTTTCTCTGTGTAGTTTTGGTGCCTGTCCCGGATCTCGCTCTGTAGACCAGGCTGGCCTCGAACTCACAGAGATCTGCCTGACTCTGCCTCCCAAGTGCTGGGATTGAAGGCGTGTGCCACCATGCCCAGCCTACAGTACATGTCACCTCTTCCGAGAAGACTCTCCTGATTTCTCCATTTAAAATGGTGTCTTCATCTATTTTCTTCTCCTCACTTCATTAACTCACCTGTTGGACATTTATTTTGATTGTTTTCTATCTTTACCATCAAAGTGTAAGCTCCACAGGAGCAGAGACACATGCCTGCTGCTCACCTTCATGGCTCCAGCCCTTTCTATACTGCCTGACTCAGAACAGGCCTTTGTTAAGTAGAGGGAGCAGAGTAAGCAACCACATGGAAAAGCCACTCAACAATGATAGGCAAAGAAGGGAAACTGCACTGACAGGTTTGGGAAACTTCATGAGTGGATAAAAAAATCCTTTCGGGGTCCAGCCGCCTGGAGAAAAGACCGTCTCCATAGTATGGGACACAGCAATGGGACGGGAAACTCAAGTGTAAAAGGACCCTCTAGACCTAGAGGTCTTGTTGGACTGGGTGCCAGGCTAGGTCCGTCAAATGACACCACATTACTGTAGTTCCCTTGGGAGGTCTCTATGAAGACCTGTATCTCTAGACATTTTACATTTGGAAGCTACACTTTCCTCCTTAGAGATTACTGCTTTTAGTATTGGCCCTTTTGAAAACTAATTCTTGATTGAATTAAAAGAGACAATTCAGGGGGCCTGGCTTGACTACAGGTAAATGGGAGAGAGTGGGTAGAGGTGGTAGAAAGATTACCCAATCAGGAGTCAAGTTAGGAGCCAAGGAAATAGGAGACAGTGGGCATGTCCACTGTGCGGCGGCTCCACCGAGCTGCAAGGGCACTCTCTCCCTCTGAACAACACCTGTCTTTGTTTCTTCCCCACTAGAGGTGTGCTCAGCTGCCTCCTGGCTTCTAAAGAGCCCACCATGTCAAGAAGTTCCCACCTGCTTAGACCTAGGTGTCAGCAAGGGCTGCCCTGGGCATCCCAAAATGGGACTGACTGTCCCGGCTCTCACCGTGTCATCCTGGTTAGTTCTCACCGCGTCCTGGACCTCATCCCTTTCTGCCTCCTGGCAGAGGTCTGCAGAATGATGACCTTCAGAAATGATCCCTTGGGAACTTGGATCCTTTCCCTCCTGGAGACACGGAGCTTCACTGTCCAGAGGGGAGAGCCCTTTGTTTCTGTAGGAAGAACCAGGAGCAATCCTTTTAACATTTAACTCAGGAGAAAAACTTAATCTTTTCATTTAAAATCTAAGTTTATGAGATCTCTATGAACTCACATTTTTATGAAAAGAACACTATAAGAAGGAACCACATTGCTCTAGCATTATTTTTGTTGAAACTCCTGTGCTATATAATCAAACAGCTGAGTGATGGTCCTTTGGCCTGAACGACGCCCTCAGCAATGTGCATTTGCTATCCCTGAAGAGGTCTAAATTGACTTAAATAAGCCTGATCTAGAGCAATTGGCCCTCCACATCCTGGTCAGGGTGACTGTCTTACAGGACACTGCCATTTAGCTGTTCTTAGGCCAGACTGCGCTAAACAAGCCACGCTTCCCATGTCTGCACAGGGTTTACCCAGACTAGCCGAGCCTCTAAGAACAGGGATAGAGCACACCTAAATGTGTCTGTCTTTCCCAGAGTCTGTTTTCTGTGCTCTTGCTGCCCCCGCCTGTAGTTACCTAAACTGCTTTGATACTAGGTAGCACGCTAAACCCAGGTTTACATGAATTCTGCTTAAGACTTGAAGTCATACACAGGGCTGGTAAAGGAACCAGGAAGCGAGGGGGAGAATGGAGCTGTCCGTACTACTCACTGCTCCATAGGTAACCTCATTTTACTCATTACGATGAACTTGAGCGGGGGTTGGGGGGAGGCAGAGGCAGGTGGATCTCTGAGTTCCAGGCCAGCCTCATCTACAGGGAGAGTTCCAGGTCAGCCAGGGCTACACAGAGAAACCCTGTCTCGAAAAATCAACAACAACAAAAAAGGATAAACTTGAACAAGTCATTTTGGGGCTGCTGGCATCAGTCCAGCTTGGGGGCAGATAGTAATTTTGTAAGTCTCCCCAAAATGACACACCACCTGCCTCTCCACACCTGTTGTCATCCCTGGGCTACTTCTCTCATTCACAGAAGCCAGTCTTCCTCCCTTCCCAGAGGGAGCTGGAAGATTAAGCCTCTAGTCTAAAACAGAAGCTCCCAGGTACCCAACAATGCAATATCCTTATCTGAGTCATACTCTGAAAGGTTTATGAGAACAAATCCCTTTCTTTGTCCCATTGATAGAAATTATAATTAAGATGTTGATTATTGGGTCGCTAGGATGGCTCGGTAGGTAGGAACACTTGTTGTCAAGTCTGATGACTTGGGTTTGATCCATGGGACCTTTATGGTGGGAAAAGAAAACTAACTTGGGCAAGTTGTCCTTTGACCTCTACCTCTATGCTGTGGCACACACTCTCTCCCTCTCTCTCTCTCCCTCCTCCCCTGCCCTGTCACACACACACACACACACACACACACACACACACACACACACACACACACAAAATACATAAATAAATGTAATTTAGATGGAACATTTTAAGATGCTAGCTATCTTAAATAATAAACATGTTTATTCTGTTGGAAACAATGGCAACTAGGGATTATGGCAGAACTGGCTCCTTTGGACCCTCATATACAAGTCAGTAGGGTCAGTTTCAATATCCCCTTTTATTCCTCATTATCAGGCCCTATCCAATGAACAAAACACCGTACCACTAAGCTGCACTGCCAGAACACTGAGAAGTCCACAACGGCCAGCTCTATTGCTAACATTATCTGTCTCCAAGTGTTTTTTGAGACGAGGAGGCTGGTCTCAAGCTCCAGGACTCCATGATCCTCCTTGTCTCAGCCTCCAGTATGCTTGGATCACAGGTGCATGCCACCACACCCAATTCCATCTGTATTTATTTTAAACCACTCTAATGCCTGTGAGACAACTACTCATGCCAAGGCCAAGCATCTCCAATAGCCCAGCATCCCCAATAGCTCAGCATCCCCAATAGCCCAGCATCCCCAATAGCTCAGCATCCCCAATAGCCCAGCATCCCCAATAGCTCAGCATCCCCAATAGCCCAGCATCCCCAATAGCCCAGCTATTGAAGTGAGTAAAGGAAAGCTTCTGCAGCTGACTTTAGAACATCTGGAGCAGAGAACTACAGGCCAAACTCCTATAAAAGGGAAGGTAGGCTTGCTCCTCTTCTACCTTGCTGGGTTTTTGTTTTATTTTTAATTCTCGTCAGCAGTCAAATCAATGTCTTTAGGATCCTTAGAACCGTGCAGTTATCTGCAGTCTAAATGTGGAACATTTCCATCCCTAAGCCTTGTGCTCAGTCACAGACACTCCCAGTCTCACTCCCAGCCCTAGGCAACCTTTGTCTCTACAGGAATATTTCCCTTCTCTTATCATTTCATATGCCAGGTACTTCAGTACTTCTTTTTAATTGCCAAATATTATACCACGTGGGTACACAACCCTGGGCTTATCTGCTTATTAGCTGATAAACACTTGAGTCTCCAGTTATTGTTTCTTGTGAATAATGTAGCTATGAATACACCTATATTGCCTATAGGTGGATATATGTTTTCTTTCTTTTCTTTTCTTTTTTTTTTTCTTTAGGTTTTTTGAGACAAGGTTTTTCTGTGTAACTACCCTGGCTGTCCTGGAACTCAATCTGTAGACCAAGCTGGCCTCAAACTCACAGAGATCTGCCTGTCTCTGTCTTGAGTACTGGGATTAAAGGCGTGTGCTACCACTGCCCAGCTGATCTGTTTTCATTTCTTCTGAATATAAACCTGGCAGTAGGCTGGGCATAGGAGTGCACACCTTTAACCCCAGCACTCTAGAGGCAGAGTCAAGCAGATATGCAGAGTGAGTTCCAAGTCAGCCAGGGCCACATAGTGAGACCATGTCACATACACACACACACACACACACACACACACACACACACACACAAACCCCAAAACCACCCAAAAAAAGTCAGCAGCAGAACATCTAGTCACACGGTAACTTAATGTTTACCGTTTTGGAAATCTGACACTTCCCAAAGTTTCTGAACCATTTTCTTTTTTCTTTTTTGTTTTTGTTTGTTTGTTTGTTTTTGTTTTTTTTTTTCTTCGAGACAGTGTTTCTCTGTGTAGCTTTACGCCTGTCCTGGATCTTGCTCTGTAGCCCAGGCTGGCCTCGAACTCACAGAGATCCGCCTGCCTCTGCCTCCCGAGTGCTGGGATTAAAGGTGTGAGACACCGCTGCCCGGCTTCTACACCATTTTCAAAGTCCCTCTGACAATGAGAAGGATCTTGTTTTTAACCAGATTATAAGAAGTTACCTTGAGCCAGGCGGTGGTGGCGCACGCCTTTAATCCCAGCACTCGGGAGGCAGAGCCAGGCGGATCTCTGTGAGTTCGAGGCCAGCCTGGGCTACCGAGTGAGTTCCAGGACAGGCACAAAGCTACACAGAGAAACCCTGTCTCGAAAAACCAAAAAAAAAAAAAAAAAGTTACCTTTTTCTACAACTATGTGGAGAAATCTCTAACCCCACACCATTTTCTCACACAGGATCTTGTTATGTAGCCCAGGCTGTACCCAAAATTAAGATCGTCCGGCTTCAGCCTCCCAAGCACTGGGAATAGAGGTGTGCACTGCCACAAGCAGTCCCTGTGTACGTGTGAAACCTCTCATGTTTGACTCAGGAACTAGTTACTCCTCCCATGCTGCAGGCTTAGTTGTATGAACTACTTCCCTGCTGTACCCTTTCAGTCCACTGCAGTATTTTTCTAACTACACCTACCCAAACTAGTCTCATCCTGAAACTCTCACAACTTCAGTGTGAGGTGTGCACCGTCTCCCCAGCTCCGTGTCTGCACATGCTGCTCTGTGCTATTGGTTCCTTTAAACACTGAAACAAAGAGAAGCTCCCTGACCCTGACTGAGTGGCGGGGCCTCGGCACTAACTCAAGCATTCTGAAAGGACGGTCGGGAAGGCACACAGCCAAGCATCTCAACCGAAAGGGGAGCGAGGTTACAAAACAACAGGCTTACTTGTAACTGACGGTCTTTTCTTCCTCCGGGCACTCCAGAAAATTAGGCACCCTCTTCAGGGGAGTCAAATCAAAAGTACTAGCATTAAAATTCACCTTCATTTTGACCCTAATAAGAGAACATGGGTCAGGATGTTGCAAAACAGTGCGCATTTGCATTTAAGCATTTTTATTATTAGAAACTGACCGTTATCAATATGGTCCATTATACTATTATTTGACATAGCGGCCAGGCTCACTGTTAGACAGCTTGTCCGACAGTCATCAAGCCCTGCATTCGGCACAAGGCTCCAACTTCGGATTTCCTGACTTTCTCTCTGGCCCTCAAGTCGTGAAACTATATAAATCTTTTCTTTTATCAATCAGTCTCTTTATTTTATCCTCTGCCATTATCCTGATGCCCTCACACCACATGGATTCCTATTTTAAAACAAACAAAAAAACAAACTCAGCACTGGAGACACGGCTAAACTGCAAAATCTGCTTTTCCAAATGGCCTGGGTTTGGTTCCCAACCACCCAGCTCACAATCACCTGTAACTCCAGCACCAGGATGCCCAACACTCTCTTCCAGACTCTGCAGACACCTGCACTCATGTTCACATACCCACACACAGGCTCACACATGTATGCATAAATTCAAAATAAAAACATCTTTAAACACAACAACAACAACTCTTTAGATCTGGAGAGATGGCTCAGCTGTTAAGAGCACCAGCTGCTCTTCCTGAGAACCCAGGTTCAATTCCCAGCACCCACGTGGGCAGCTCAAAAGTGCCTGAAACTCCAGCTCCAGGGGATCTGACATCCTCTTCTGGCTCTGTGAGCTGCACACACATGGCACACTTTGTTAAAGGAAACAACTATAATACCCAAACTTAGATCAACTTCTTAAACCAATTCTCCCAATAATGGGTGGCAGAAGAGGCATGTCAGTTTCTGCAGAAAAATACTGCATTTATACTATTTTTCCATCTCAAGTGTCTGATGTTCAACCAAAAAATATAAAATTAAGGTCAATTGAGGTGGTACATGCCTTTAAATCTAGCATTTAGGAAGCAGAGGCAGGAAGATCTCTAGAGGTGAGTTTGAGGCTAACCTGATGTACATGTGGAGTTCTAAGCCAGCCCAGGGCACAGTGGGAACCTGCCTCAAAAAAAAAAAAAAAAGAATAGTGATTGTTCTTCCAGAGGACCTGGGTTCAATGCCTAGTACCCACATGGTGGCTCACATTTAACTCCAGTCTCAGGGTATTCAGTACCCTCTTGTGACCTCTACAGGCACCAGGCACACGTTATGTATAAATAGACATGTAGGCAAAACACCTTACACATAAGAATAAACAAATCGGGGTTGGAGAGATGGCTCAGAGGTTAAGAGCACTGACTGCTCTTCCAGAGGTCCTGAGTTCAATTCCCAGCACCCACATAGTGGCTCACAACCATCTGTAATGAGATCTGGTGCCCTCTTCTGTGTACATAATAAATAAATAAATCTTTAAAAAAAAAAAAAAAAAGAATAAACAAATCTTTTAAAATTATAAGGCATGCAAAAATAGGCAAAATAAAATGTCTAGTCAAGATATAAAGTAATCAACAGAACCAGACTGAACCAAATTCAGAAATGACCCTAATGTTGGATCTATCAGATTGGAAATTTAAAGTAACTATGATTAATATGGCTTTTGAAAAAAAAAAAACAAACTTGGGGGGCTGGAGAGATGGCTCAGAGGTTAAGAGCACTGACTGCTCTTCCAGAGGTCCTGAGTTCAATTCCCAGCACCCACATAGTGGCTCACAACCATCTGTAATGAGATCTGGTGCCCTCTTCTGTGTACATAATAAATAAATAAATCTTTAAAAAAAAAAAAAAAAAGAATAAACAAATCTTTTAAAATTATAAGGCATGCAAAAATAGGCAAAATAAAATGTCTAGTCAAGATATAAAGTAATCAACAGAACCAGACTGAACCAAATTCAGAAATGACCCTAATGTTGGATCTATCAGATTGGAAATTTAAAGTAACTATGATTAATATGGCTTTTGAAAAAAAAAAAACAAACTTGGGGGGCTGGAGAGATGGCTCAGAGGTTAAGAGCACTGACTGCTCTTCCAGAGGTCCTGAGTTCAATTCCCAGCAACCACATGGTGGCTCACAACCATCTGTAATGAGATCTGGTGCCCTCTTCTGGCCTGCAGTCATACATGTTGTATACATAATAAATAAATTTTAAACTTAAAAAAAAGAAAGAAAAAAAAACTGGTTGAAAAAGTGGACAATATGCACTAAAAGATGAAAAATTTCAGAAAAAGGTGAAAACTATGAAAAATCAATGGAAATGCTAAAAATCATACTGTCACAGTCGGTGTGTTTGATGGGCTCATCAGTAGATAACACACAAAGGAGCTCCGGGAACTTACAGATGGCTCAAGAGAAATTATCTAACCAAAACACAGAAAGTAAAGTCAACCACTCTCAAAGACTTATAGAACTGTGGATGTTATCCATGGTCACACATACACAGAATCTCAAAAATTAAAGCAGACAAATGGTACATGAGAAATATTTGAAGGAATGATGATCTAGGTTTTCCCCTATATTAATGAAATATGTATAATGATAAAAATGAAAATGTCATACAACTCTAAGAGGAAAAAAATAAGCTTAGATACTTCATAGTCTACCTGATGAAAATCAAAATTGGAGAATCTTGATAGTACTCAAGAAAAATATCACGTACAGAGGAACAATGAATTACAGCAGACTTTATTTTAAAATCATCACTGAAGTAGATCACTGTCTCAAGAAAGAATTTTCGAAGTCCAAGAAGCTCACAACTTCCATTACATCAATTATTACCTGCTCCTTTTACAAAATTCACTTTCTATGTATCTCATGGGCACTTTAAGCCATTCGTTTGGAGTCATACATTGCCTTGAATTAGAAATACTCGGGAACCTGGAATGCAACTGGGCCTTCTCGATCTCTTTAAATTCTTTCATTGTATAGATTTTGCCTGCAAGACAATTAATAACCTACATCAGCATGCTTCAATGCACCTGCCATTGCTCTCGGGCTAGGGGATCACATACAAATCAAGTACCGGTCTCACACTGGAGGAGAGTCTTCTTGTCATTGTCCTTGTCATTCTGGGCTTTTTTCAGAGGGTCACGGAATGGCGGCATGACGACCTACAAGAGAAGCACTCTTCTGAGGACTGGGCTGCAGCTCTGAGGATTAGCATCCAGTCCATCCTAAGCATCCATGTGTGTTCTCATGCCGGGAGAGTAAAGAATACAGGACCTACTAACATAGATCCATTATATATAACACATTGCAGAGATGGGGCACTCTGATACTTTTCTTAGGAGGTCATAAAGCCAAGAGGAAAGGTTAGCTCTGGGGGGGGGGGGGCATACATGAGCTCGTGTGTGTGTGTGTGTGTGTGTGTGTGTGTGTGTGTGTGTGTGTGCAAATGCACGTGGATGTGCATGTGGAGCTCAGAGGTTGATGTCAGCTGTCTCCCTCTCCCTCTCTCTCCACCTTATTTTTTTTGGTGACAAGGCCTCTCACTGAACCTGAGACTTACTGTTCTGACTAGACCGGCCAATGAGCTCCAAGAATCCATCTGTTTCTGTGTCCCCAGCACTGAGGACACAGATGCTGTGACGTCTGCCTTTCACAGGGTGTTAGGGACCCAAGTTGAGGTTCTGTACTTGTACAAGTAGGTATTTTACTAACTAAACTATCTACCCAGTCCAAGGCAAGGTTACTCTTATTTCGAAGTTTGGGTTCGGTCTTCAAAACCTGTCATCATATATCCTTAAATTTAAAACCTCATTTTCCTTTAGTAAATGTATATATATCTCCATATGTCCATCTTCATCCTAATACCCAGAAACAGCAGCATAACAATTATATAAAACTAACTACAATATTCAAAATGCAGGTTATCTGTTAAGCGTTAAAGCACTAATGTCTTTTGCTGGCCAACATTGCTAAAATTACAATTCAACACAAGACCACAGCATTCAGAAGCAGTCACGGTCATGGTCTAGCCTGCTCCTATGAACTCCTACCACAGCTAAAAAGGTTACCTATGTGTCTTCCCAGTAATGCTGAGACTTGTTTTCTCGGGTAACTGTAACAGGAACATGACTATCCAGACCTAAGGTGAGCAGACTGCCCTCTCCAGTCTCACTGTTAGGTAAACTACAGAGTGGTATAGGAAGAGCCAACAGGAACTCGCTGTGAAGAGACAACACAGTGCTAGCATCTCGTTATTTGTCTGTGACTTTGTGACAGATGAAAACAGACTTTTACACTCTAAAGAGAGCAACAACGGTCTAAAGTTTAATTAACAACTGCATCACATTTCCCTATCGCTACTGAATTTTTACATTGTAACAGTGACTGAAGTTTTTGACTTGTGGACCACTGAACCCAAACAAAAATACTGCAACCTAGTAACTTTTTTGTTTGTTTGTTTTGTTTTTGGTTTTTCGAGACAGGGTTTCTCTGTGTAGCTTTGGAGCCTGTCCTGGATCTCGCTCTGTAGACCAGGCTGGCCTCAAACTCACAGAGATCCACCTGGCTCTTCCTCCCCAGTGCTAGGATTAAAGGTGTGCGCCACCACCGCCCGGCTGTGCTCTACATTTTTAAGAAACAAAAATGCATTTTTCACCTTCTTCAATTACAACAAAAATCAAAACACATTGTATGCAGAAGCAGACACAAGAATGAACTTTTATTTTAAACAAGACATTAAAGAAAGTTACATAAATGTAAAGCAGTATTACACTTTAGTTAAGTTTTTGTTTTGGAAAATACAGTTTTTGTAATAAAAGATATTTCAAATATAGAATTATTTTTTAAGTTACTAAAAGAGATTTCTTCGTCTTAACTTCAAATATAATCATATAACCAACATCAACATATCTAAACAATATAGTTGAAAAAAGGCTTCCTTTCCCTTTTGCTGGCACACTGCCGACGCCCATGTCTGTGGGGAATGTCTGAACTAACGCACGTCTGCCCTCGGAAGTCCGGCCGGTCTGCTGCCTGACACACCGGCTCTTGCACGGCCCTTTGCTCTGGCTGCTTCCCCACACGCTGTCACGCCAAGGCCACACAACTGCTCCCTGTTTCTTTCCACCCTCACCAGTGTCTAATGTACTCAATGCCTTTAGGTGGCATGCACGTGTACAGGACTAGATAAAATAACTGCCGGGACACAGATCAGCTACAGAGATAAGCATCATAAAAGTGTCTGTAAGAGCAATACTTAGTCTGTGGGGAAATGACAGCATGGCAAGGTGGGTACAGGACTGGAGACTCATTTACGCTCTGCTGTTCACAGGTGGTGCTGTGACAACCTCTCTGTGCTGTGACAACCTCATCCTTAACTGCCTCTCACAGCAGCAGGGGAGATGCATTTCCCTAAGAGATGGAGGGCTAGGGCTATAACTCAGTGGTAGAATGAATGCCTAATATATAGAAAAAAAACAAACATTTGGTTGACACCAACTAGTTCTAAATAGATAAGAAAGAAGTCCAAAAAGATATATAAAAATGTTACTGAGCTAGTTTTGGGTAATTGGATTTTTTTAATATTCTGAATTTAAATTATTTTTTTTCACTTACTATAAGAACGTATCAGACTGGGTGTAGTAGCCCCGTCTTTAATCCCAGTACTAGAGAGGCAGAGGCAGTTGGATCTCTGTGAGACCAACCAGGTCTACATAGTGAGTTCCAGTACAGCCAATGCTACATAGAGAAGCCCTCTCTCAAAACAAAACAAAAGAATGTATGACTTATGTAACAAAATTTTTTTTTAATTTTTTTTTTTTTAAATTTTCCAGAGCTGAGGACCGAACCCAGGGCCTTGTGCTTGCTAGGCAAGCACTCTACCACTGAGCTAAATCCCCAAACCCTTCTGTAACAAAATTTAAAGTCTTTGAAAATGTTTAAACATTTCCTATTACTCAGTTATTATACAACATTTTCATATTTTCTGAGATTAACTCATCTTTGGTCTTTGGGTTATTTAGTCCTTTCTAAAATATTACATAGGAAACCCACTCCAACAATGCTCCTGAACTTTAAGGACTCACTCAAGGGCAAGCAACACATATGTTAAGTCTGCTCATCAGACACATACCACCACAGTGAAGAAACCCACATACCTTTAGAAAATTGGGGTCCTCTTTGCTCATATAAAAAGGATCATATTCTTTTGGATCATAATGCTCTATAAATGCATTTCCCTATAAAAAGGAAATAAAACCACACATAAGAAGTACATAATTAATTTTGATGCTATCAGAACTCAAGAGTTACACAGTTTGTATCCCCTGCCCTCAATCATAAGAGACAAATGGGAGGCATTGGGCTACAGTCCCAGCCCTACACAGTTCCAGTCTTACGCTTCAAATAGCACCAATGGCTCAATACCACCCCTTCGTGTACAAGACATCTCAGTGGGTGAAGGCCCTAGCACTGATGACCTCAGTTCAATCCCCAGAACTAACAGTGTGAAAAGAGAACCCTGACTTCCCTGAGAGCTCATCACTCACTCACACACACACACACACACACACACGTACATGAATAAATAAATACAATTTAATTTAAATTAAAAGAATATATTGTTGGGCTGGAAAGATGGCTCAGCGGTTAAGAGCACTGGCTGCTCTTCCAGAGGTCCTGAGTTCAACTCCCAGCAACCACATGGTGGCTCACAACCATCTGTAATGAGATCTGGCACGTAGGCAGAAAACTATATACATAATTGTCTATATCAGAGTATAGATGGTACATAAACAGAAGAGAGAGAGGCAGGACTGTTTAGATGACTGAACAAAGACAACCATGACTTTTAAAGCACTGTAAGAATTATAAGATGACTTCTTATTACCTTCTTATTTACATGTCTCAAAAAACTGTCTAATTCTTGTCGTCTCCTCTTTTTAATCTTCTTATGTGAACAAACTTTTTCTATAATTTTCTTCTGTAGAGGATCTGCCACACACTCAACCCATTTTTTATACAACATCTCTTTTCTTCTTGCATTTAAGAAGTCATGATGATATAAATACTTATCTAGTTCCTAGTAAACGGGACAGAAAGACAAAAATATTATCCTGAAGGTTTTATGTCTTAAAGTTTTGTAAAATTAAAGTTCATAAGCTTAAATTATTCTTAAAAATAACCTGCCACCAGGGGCTGGAGAGATGTCTCAGTGGTTAAGAGCACTGGCTCCTCTTCTAGAGGTCCTGAGTTCAATTCCCAGCAACCACACAACATGCAGACAGAGCACTCATAACAAAAGAAAAGAAAAGAAAAACCCATCATTCAATCATTTAACCCTTTACTTGGCTTCCACCATTTGGCACACCCTGCTGAAAACAAAGGCACATGGACACTGGAGGCAACATGCCCACCCTTCCTGATAATCAACTAAATACACCGGGCCAGTGAGATGACTCAGCAGGAGAGAAGCTTGTCACTCAAGCCTGGCAACCTGAGTGGGACCCCCGGAACCCATAGAAAGGTGAAAAGCCAATTCCACAAAGTTGTCCTCTGACGTCCATGTGTGCCATGGCGTATGTGTCCACACACATATCATACACACACACGTATATGCAATAATAATAAGTAAAAATTTTATTTAAGCCCAGCAGTGGTGGTGCACGCCTTTAATCCCAGCACTCGGGAGGCAGAGGCAGGTGGATCTCTGTGAGTTCGAGGCCAGCCTGGTCTACAGACTTAGTTCCAGGATAGCCAGGACTACACAGAGAAACCCTGTCTCAAAAAAACAAACCAAAAAAAGTTTTACTTAAGTAAAATAAATCAAATATACCACACAGTAGAAGGAGAGACAATATAGCAACATTGTATACGTTAAAAGTGAAATCATACTAGGAAAATTATTTTATGTGTGTGCATGTGTGGTGTGCATGTATGTGTGTGGGCAGATATACTCACCTGTACAGTGCTGAAGGAAGTCCCTCAAAGCACAGGAAACTAGCAGTCATTAAAACACTCTCAGTGATGTGTCCCACTTAATCCCAACTGCTAATGAGTGTTTCTAATTCTATTTCCTGTATTATCTAAAACTGTGAGTTTTACTCACAGTTGTTAAGTAGATACTACATTGAAAATGGAAAAAATTATTTAAGATGCATTTTGTAGTCAATTCTTACCTTCATTACATAATTTTCTCTATATAATATTGACTGAACAGCTGCATCAGTATCTTCTTTAGCTAAAGCCTAAAAGAACAGAATTATTCCAAAAATCAAATCTTGAAAAATCATTAGCATTATCTGTGCTTATGATATTTTTATGTGAAAGGCATATCCCTGAAGCATTCTCTGTAAATCCTATTTTTCTGTATCACTTAGCACTTTTTCAAAAGCTATTTTGATCTTTCTGTTCTTGGTTACAGCAAGAAATAATTCATCTCACAGGCATTTTGAGTCCCAGGGCAGTCAAATGACTTGCCCAGAGTCATGTCGTAGTCAGAACCATCTTTTCCCACATCTGGTAAAATGTTTTTACCTTTCTGGGTTAAGACAGACATGCACAGGCCTCTATCTGACAGACTAATCTCTCTGTACGTCTAATGTAAGATTATGCCTGTCTAGCACCACCTAGGGCAAACCTATACCTAGAAGAAAGCCACTAAGGAAAAACAACACGGTCTAAGAAAGGCCGCATTCCATTTCCTGTTCCTATTCTTACTCTTTTATAATGAATTTACCTATTGATTTGACTTTGAAAATTGCTTTTTAAAAACAAAAATGTAGAGCCCGGCATGGTGGCGCACGCCTTAAATCCTAGCACTCAGGAGACAGAGGCAGGCTGATCTCTATGAGTTTGAGACCAGCCTTTGTAGAAAGTTCCAGGACAGCCAGGGCTGTTACAGAGAAACCCTGTCTCAAAGAAACAGAAAGAAAGAGAGAGAGAGAAAGAGAGAGAGAGAGAGAGAGAGAGAGGAGAGAGAGAGAGAGAGAGAGAGAGAAGGCAGGGAGGGAGGGAGGGAAGGAAGGAAGGAGAGAAAGAGAAAAAAAGAAAAATTAATAAATAAAAACTAAAATGTAATTGTCTCGGCCTCCCAAGCGCTGGGATTACAGGCCTGTGCCACAAACCCAGCCCGTTGTATGGTCCTTTAATTAATTTTACATGACAATCAACCAGTTGCTTAATAGACTGAAACATTTTTTTTTTCAAAGGCAGTAGGGACATTAATACAATTAAAATAAATACATTTATCATTAATGAAGACCTTGCAACCACCTAATAAATTTACGTGTTTTTGTGTGGGTCTGGTGGACTTTTTGTTGTTGTTTGTTTTTGTTTGTTTGTCTATTTGTTTTCTGTGGGGTTTTTTTTGGGGGGGGTGTTGTTTGTTTTTGAGACAGGGTTTTACTATATAGTCTTGGCTGTCCTAAAACTCACTATGTAGACCAGACTGTCCTCAAATTCAGAGATATGCTTGCCTCTGACTCCTGAGTACTGGGATTAAAGGCCGTGCCACCACACCCAACTGAACCACAATTCAAACTCAAATGTGTGTCTACTAGTTTCGGGGGAACAGGGTCTGGCTATGTATTCCAGCCTGGCCCAAAACTTGCCCAGGAGTCTTAGACTTGTGATGCTCCTGCCTCAACCTCCCAAATGCAAGGATTGCATGTGTAAACCAATACCCTTGGCTTCAGAAATCACTTTCTTTCCTCCTTCTGCACAGAGGGTTGCTGACTCTGACAAGACTGCTGTCCTCAACTAAGATGAGTAATGGATTAATGTTCTAGCTCCAGATTAAAGTACAAACAAAACAACAACAACAACAACAACAAAAACCAGCAATCCGAAGACACTGAAAACTGGCCAAAAGTGCCCACACAGCCCTATCCCTTATGCCCGACTAGTTTCAACCAGAGCTAATGGAGGTAAAACTCACTCACATGCATGTGGTGTCACTAGTTGAGGAATTTAAAAGGCAAAACTCCTGGCCAACTATGGAAGATGTTTCCCCCCCCAGTGCTGGAGATTAAGCCTTGTGCACGCTAGGCAAGTGCTATGCCAATGAACCACATCCTCAGGCCCAACCATTAAGAGATGAGAGGAGACGTCTCTAAGGGAGCCATAGAAAGGGTGCCACAAATTCCACAAATGAACTGGCCAAATCTCTGGTAAGCACCTGAACTGGTGGACAGGGCTCTATGCACCCCAAGCAAAGCTTAAGAAAAGCAGAGTGGCTCCACCTGCTGCCAACTGGTGGACAAATATTTCAATGACATAAAAGAATCAAGGTCCTTTATAATGTATCATCCATAATGCCTAAAATAGACAGAGGAAAAGGAAAATGTGACCCATACTTAAGAAAAAAAAATCAGCAGAACTAGGACCACCCATATGTTGTAACTGAAATATAAAGCCTTTGGGGGTGTGGGCATGGTACACATGCCCTAATTCCACTCATCCCAGGTACTTAGGAGCAGGAAGCAGGAAGACAAAGAGTTGAAGGCCAGGCTACACAACACAGTGAGGTCCTAACTAAAAGTAAAAAAGCAGGGTCGGGGAAGATGTTGGAATGGCTAAAAATATACGAACAATGAGCAGACAGACTTAGCAAGCAAACAGAAACAAGAAAAGAAGTGGTGGGAAAATCCAGTTCCCACACTTTAAAAAGAGACAGATTGCCGTGAGTTTCACAGAAGGTTTAAGATGACATAAACAACAATCAGTGACCGTGAAGACACAGCATTAGAAAGAATCCACTCCAGAGCCAGGCTTAGGGATGTGTCTGGAAACGCAGGCCCCAGAAGGCTGAGGCAGGAGGACTAGAGTTTGAGGACAGATGGACAACACAGAGACCTTGTCAGAGAGACAGAAGTGGGGGGTGCAGAGGGAGGGAAGGAAATAACACCCGAAAGAGGAAGAGCATTTTTGGAAACTGTGAGCCCACAGATACAAGTTCAATAAACTCCAAGGAGTGGAGAAATTGGAGCCTTCCTCCACTGCTGAGAATATAAAATGGTACAGCGGCTGCGGGAATAATATCTCTGCTGGTTTGCCAGAAAGTTAGGTACAGAGTTATTTGACCCAGCAAATCCAATCCTATGTTACAAGAGAACATAGTTCAAATCCAAAGTTGGAAACAAGTGTTCATGAGAGCAATGTTCACACTAACAAAACACAAGAAACACTTCCAATGTTCCGTCACTGAGGAAATAAAATGTGGCATCCAAGCACTGAGATAGTACTTGGTCATAAAAAGCAGGAAGTAGGAGCTAGAGAGACAGGTCAGTGGTTAAGAGTGAGAATGAGCTCAGTTCCTGCTGCAATCCACAGAAAAATGTGATGGAATTCAGCTACTATCACAAAAGCTACTACTTGGAAAGGCCAAGGCTTTTCCCGAAGGTCAAGCCATGGCTTAAGAAGTCTTGGTGATATTTTAGCTTTTGCATATATATTAGCCCATTCCTGCAATGATCCTTGTATGCTACGTATGCTTCCAAGAACTACTAACAGTGTATTTTATCTGAAATACCTATCAAGCATCCAAGGCCAAAAGATCTCCTGAATTAAGGTAAATTAAGCTTGGACCCTCCTTTCTTATACAGCCTTAGTGGTATTTATACTAACATTATAGACGCCTAACATTTACCTAACCACCTCTAGGAACATAGTCTGAGCACATAAATTCCCTTTTTCTGATACATTAACTGATTTTAGCTCTTAGTTGACCTCTTCCCTTACCACTCCCCTTTTGGGTTGTAAAAGAAAGCCTGACATCACTGCCTGAGGAAAACTCTTCTCTGCCTTTAGGACCCTGTAAGAAATCAAGCCTGGTGGCCTTGCTTTGGACAGAGCTCTGCTATTGCAGGGGTATAGAACTGTTAACCTCAGAGACTGAGGAGAATTTTTGAGGATTTTGACTGGAGAACTAGAAGAATGAGATGGAAGATGAGGAAGAGCCAGATGGGGAAAAACGAAATGATAAAGACCAAGATGGGGCAGAACTAAGATGAGAGAATTAAGATAGAACTTAGAGGGGACAGCAGATAAAGGTAGAGAGAAATCGGGAAAGAAAGGAGCTAGGCATGAGAACAGAACTGAAGCTGTGTAGATAGAATATTATCCCAGAGGAATAAAGTAGACAGATGAAAGAGCTCGGTGTACTTAAATTCTTTTCCCGAAAATAATTCAAGCCTTTTTTTTTTGTTTTTTTGTTTTTTTTTTTTTTTGTTTTTCAAGACAGGATTTCTCTGTGTAGTTTTTGGTGCCTGTCCTGGATCTCACTCTGTAGACCAGGCTGACCTCGAACTCACAGAGATCCACCTGGCTCTGCCTCCTGAGTGCTGGGATCAAAGGTGTGCGCCACCATCGCCCAGCAATGGAACTCTCTTTGTAGATCAGTCTGGCCTTGAACTCAGAGATCTGCCTGCCTGCCTCCTTAATGCTGGGATTAAAGACAGGTGCCACCACTACTCGGCTAGAAGAGCTTTTAATTGCTCCAAATTGGAAACAACCCAAATGTCCATCAATGAGATGGAAAAACTAGAACATATCCATTGAATAGAGTACCAGTTGCTAAAAAGAGGACTGGAATAGTGATACATACAACAGCATGGATAAACTGAAAGATAATTTTAAGTCAAAGAAGCCAGATAAGCCGGGCGGTGGTGGCACACGCCTTTGATCCCAGCACTCGGGAGGCAGAGCCAGGCGGATCTCTGTGAGTTCGAGGCCAGCCTGGGCTACCAAGTGAGTTCCAGGAGAGGCGCAAAGCTACACAGAGAAACCCTGTCTCGAAAAACCAAAAAAAAAAAAAAAAAAAAAGAAGCCAGATAAAAAGAATACATAAGGGCCAGGCATGGTGGCACACACCTTTAACCGCATCACTCAGGAGAATGAGGTAGGTGGATCTCTGTGAGTTTGAGGCCAGCCTGTTCTATCTACAGAGTGAGTTCCAGGACAGTCAGAGCTACAGAGAGATACCCTGACTCAAAAAACAAAACAAACAAACAAAAAAAAATCAAAAACAAAAACCATGTAATTTTTCACTGCATAAAAAAATTTTAAGGGGCTGGAGAAATGGCTCAGAGGTTAAGAGCACTGGCAATTCTTCCAGAGGTCCTGAGTTCAATTCCCAAAATCCACATGGTGACTCACAACCATCTACAATGAGATCTGGCACCCTCTTCTGGCCTGAAGGGATACATGCAAGCAGAATACTTGCTTGTATACATAATAAATAATAAATCTTAGAAAAAAAAAAATTTAAGAATAAGCAAAACCACCAGGCGGTGGTGGCCCACGCCTTTAATCCCAGCACTCGGGAGGCAGCGCCAGGAAGATCTTTGTGAGTTCGAGGCCAGCCTGGTCTACAGAGTGAGTTCCAGGACAGCCAGGTCTGTTTCACAGAGAAACCCTGTCTCGAAGAAAATAATAATAATAAGCAAAAACACAGGGACAGAGTGCTTACAAGAAATGAAGGAAGTGTGAGAGAGTATTGCAAAGGGCAGGAAACTGGGAATGTTGAATAGATTTGTAATCTTGATGTGTAAAAATAATGGCTTCAGGAGCGTATACATTCCCAAACTTACCAAATTATGCGTTTTGAGGGTATGTATTTACTGCATACCAATTATATACCTTAATAAAACTGTTTGAAAAAAGTGACAACATAGCAAAGTTCAAGTAGGTTTTTAAACAGCTTTGTTATATTAAAAAAGGATTTATAATCAATGGCTTGTGATTATACTTTAAGAAGCTCTCCAATGAAGAGCAAAAGGGGATAGAGTAGGGTAGAAAAAACGAAACAAAACAAAAAAACGCCCAAACTTAGTCCAAGCCACCTCCCTAAGCAAGGACCTCGCAAAAGGCACACAACTATACCTCCATAAAAGAGAGCGACTGTGGTTCCAACCATTCTTTGGAGCTCTTGCGCCTAGGAAGCGTGCCAGTTACCATATCCTCTTGGCTCCTCCCAGTTTTCATTGTGGTAGGTCGCCAAGTAACAGTGCCCCTAGAAAAGCTAAAACAGCATTTATTTTGTAAGGGAAATTCGCCGTAAGTTCCTCTTCCGTTGAATAATCAACCCTCGTGACCTTGGTCCCCTATTGGAACGAGTCTTTGAAAACTGACCATCCATGTTCCAAGGTGCCATGAAGGCCGGGCTCTTTTGGAGCCCTCGTGGCTAATTAAGGTGCTATCCAAGCCGTGTGGTCATCCGACTAGCCTCCAGGATTCTAATTTCTAGCAGTTTCCTGAATTCCTGAAGCTACCGAGGCACAACTGGGCTCTTGGGGAAGGAAGGGAATTCTGGACGAAATTCAGGCCTTCCAGCTCCAAGAGGCCCAGAGCCCTCCCCAGGGTGTGCACGGGAGGGAGAAGGGGACACATGCGAGCCTGTGCCCACGGTGGCTCTTAGGGCGCCAGGCCCGCTCACCAGGGAGCAGGGCCCGCGAGGACCCGATGCGCGCCCCGGCTCGCTCTGACGCAGACGGCGTGCGTGCGCAGGGCCGCCCGGCGGTGCGAGGCCTCGACCCCCTCTGGCGGCGGGCAGGGCTGTCGGCTCTCCCGGCACCACAGGGCGCCCGCGGCCCCAGCTCGAACCCGTGTGTGGCTTCAGAACGCGCGGACGTTCGGGGCTCCGTCTCCTGGACGCGGCCACGGCCGGGGATGGAGAAGGGGGGGGCGGGCGACGTGGAGCCGCGCGGGCCTCCAGCCGGGGCGGGGGGCCGGCCTCGCTCTCACAGGCAGCTGTCACAGCCAATCAGCTTTCGCGCCTGTCTCCCCACCCCCCCTCCAGGCTCCGCCCACGGCCCCGCCCCTGGCGGAGCTTGGATGCTCCCGTTGCCCTGGTACCCGGTGTGTAGCTCCCGTGCCCCGCCAGGATTTTTAGGTCCAGTTCGGCTGCCGGCTCGCCCCTCCCGCCGTCAGTCACTTCTCAGAAGGACGCAGGGCGAGCCTCCCCGTGGTGAACGAGCACCTGTGGCGGTTGGCTCGATGAGAGCCGTCCAAGGTGGCGGCTCCCGGGCAGGAAATGGAGCTCTAAGGGGCCACCAAGGTGGGCGTAGAGCCGGGGCGGTGGACCAGTGCCTGTCCCTCCCGGCGTTGATGCTGGTCCAGGAGGAGGAATGAAAGGATTATCTTACATAACTCGGCTTTTCTCCATCGGTGCTCTTGAGATTCTTTGGATAACCGGTTGCCTTTTTCTGTTCTTACTTTACTTTACTTTTATTTATTTACTCGTTCGTTTTTGCGGGGCTGAGAAGTGAACGGGGGATTTTTTTTTTTTTTTTAACCGCTCTGCCGTTGAGATTTCATCCGCAGAACTTTAGGGTTTTTTTTGTTTTTTTTTTAAGACGGGGTCTCTCTGGCTTTGACCTTGTATGACCTTCCTGCCCCTAGAGTGCCTGAGATGATAGGCATGGACTTGTGTTTTTAAATCCCAGGTAATTCTCGTGTAAATCATTACATAGCAAAAAATGTTGAGGCTCTGATTTTTTTTTTTCCTCTTCAAACTCTGCTTCATAAGCCAGTCTGTGAACTCTGATTTTTTTAATAGTTTTTGTTGTTGTTGTTGTTGTTTTCCTGGGTATTGATGAACACTAGATGATGATCCGCGATTTTCACTCTTCCAGGGTTTTAAAGGACACCCACTGATCACTAAAACTGAAGTATCAGAGGCCCTTGTATACTCACACGTGGAGGCTTCGACTACAGTTCCTGGTTCAGAGCTGAGGAAGCATGAGTCACTTACAAAACTTACTGTTAGATACCCTACTAGGGACGAAGCATGTGGACAGTGCGGCCCTCATCAAACTCCATGAAAGGAGCCTGTGTGTGACATCACCAGGATTTAGTGTAAGAGGAAAAAAAAAAAAAAGAAAACTCTTTTAAAACTAACTTTTTAGGTTAGCATACAAAGTATTGGTTTTTACCATGTCATCTTCAGATATGTGTTGTGAATGAACTATGTAAAAAATATGAACATGTTTGTCTCAACAATGTCAGAATTTATTGAGTAATGATAAATTCACAAGGTATAATAGTTTCTGTGGTATCAACTTGATAGATACGCCTGCTTTCCTCAGTAACCATGACTGAGGTGAACACGGGCTGTTTTAGTCCCATCTGAATTACTAATATCAACTACTCTTGGATCACACAGCAATGTGTGTGTGTGTGTGTGTGTGCATATACATGTAATCATATGCATGTGTGTATGTATGGTTCCAGAATAGCAATAAAGTATTAAGACACCACAGCAAGGTTCAAGAGTTTTCACAAGTCCTGAAAATCAGGGAAGTAGAAATGTCAGTAGAGCCGGGCGGTGGTGGCACACACCTTTAATCCCAGCACTCGGGAGGCAGAGCCAGGTGAATCTCTGAGTTCGAGGCCAGCCTGGTCTACAGAGTGAGTTCCAGGACAGGCACAAAGATACAGAGAAACCCTGTCTCAAAAAAAAAAAAAAAAAAAAAAAAAAAAAAAAAACCAAAAAACAAAAGAAAAAAAAAGTCAGTAGATATTTGATAATAGATATCGATAAATTAACAGAATCAGAGCTTTGAGAAAGAATCTGGTGAAACTTTGGTGACTAGTTGGACTCCTTCAGATCACGAGTTTGAGGGGAAAGCTTCAGAGTTGAGACCAGCTCTGGGGGCAAGAGGGCAGGGCCGGGTCCAGACAGATTGGTAGACGGGTGGGGCAGGTCCGGGTCAGTAGGAACCAATGTGATCTCAGTGTGGAGTCTGGGCAAGGGAGACTCTCCTTGGTCTGTTGTATATATTTCTTGGGCCTGGTTTTTCTGATATAATTTTAATATGTCTATATTGCCTTTACTGTCTCAGTTTCCCCCCTTACATTTATAGGGGAGCACTCTTTCTACTCCCAGGCATAAGTCATTTTCATTTTCCAGTCTGTGTTGTGTTGGTGGTGCTGAACAGACGTGCTATTCCTGTGTCCATCCAGGTTTCATTCATTCATTCCTGTCCACAATGCCCTTCTCTATACCCTCTCCTGCTTCCGCTGGTTCCCTTCCTCTCTCAATTCCTCTGTTTTCTTATCATGTGTATCCCATTATCCTATTTCCCACCTTCTTTAAGGGATATCCCTCCCTCCTTATGAGCCCCTTTCTAATTTTGTCACCTATACACACACAGAGAAGTAAATATATACATACACATAGTTGTAAAGATTTGGTTTTATTTCTGTCTGCATGTTTGCATGCCATGTGCATGCAGTACCTACAGAGGGCGATAGAGGGCTTCAGATCCTTTAAATTATAGCCGGTAGCCACAGGGCGGGTGGACAGTGGGAACTGAACCTAGGTCCTCTGCAAGCACTCTTACCTGCCAAGCTGTATCTTACCAGCCTCATCCACATAGTTTTAAATCCAGGTTCTATATATAAAAGAAAATGGGGGGTGGAGGGAGCTGGAGAGATGGCTTAGAGGTTAAGAGCACTGGCTGCTCTTCCAGAGGTCCTGAGTTCAATTCCCAGCAACCACATGGAAGAGCAGCCATAAAATTACCAGGCTGGCCTTGAACGCACAGAGATCTGCCTGGCTCTGCCTCCTGAGTGCTGGGATCAAAGACGTGCACCAATACCACCCTGCTCTAGGTATAGTTTTTTGGGGAGGAACTTCCATACTGATTTCCATGGTGACTGCACAAGTTTACATTCAGACCAGCAGTGAATTAAGAGTTCTTCTTATCTTTCCCCACATACTTGCCAACATTTATTGGTAGTTGTTTTCTTCTTTTTCTTTCTTTTCCATTTAAAAAAAAAAAAAAAAAAAAGGTTTCATATAGCCCAGGCTAGCCTGCAACCTGCTAGGTAACCAAAGATGACCTTGAACCTCCTGCTTCTACCTCCCAATGCTAGGACTATATTCATGGAGGACCATATTCATGGAGCACCATGCCCGCTCTATGCTGGGGACTAAACCCAGAGTTTGGGCATGCTCAGCAAGTACTCTACCAACTGAGCTACATCCCTGCCTTCATTTGGTTTTGTTTTCTCGGTGATACTTATTCCGACTGGTCTATGGTGGAATCTCAAAGCACCACATATATACATCGTGCCTTCAGAATTCAGAAGACTCGTAGCCCCTAGAAACTGTAAGCCACCATGTTGGCTCTGGGAATTGAATCTGGATCCTCTGCATGAGCAGCAATTATTCTTAACCACTGAGCCATCTCTCCAGAACTATTATTTTTATATGTGGATCTGTGTGTATATCCGTTTATGTGTGCATCTGAGGGCAGTGCTCTTGGAGGCTAGAAGAGGGCTTCAAATCCTCGGGAGCTGGAGTTGTAGGCAGTGGTGAGCCACCTGATATGGATGTTAGGAACTGGACTCCTGTCCTGTGGAAGAGCGCAAAAGTGCTCTTAATTACTGAGCCATCTTTCCAGCCCCTCAAAGTTTTAATTTGCATTTCTCTGGCAGATAAATATTAGTTTTTCAAGTATTTGTTTAGTATTTGGCCTTTTTATGTGTCTTTCCAAGAATCATCTATTCAGTTTATTGATTGATTGATTGATTGATTGATTGGCTGATTTGGGGATTTTGGTGTTTGAGTGTTGCAGTTCTTTGTATACCCTTGTGGGGCTTTTTTGTTTTTTTTTATAATTATTTACAATGGCTGCCCCTCAAGCCACGGCTGCCCTGATCAGCCCCTGCAACTCTGTTGTCAATTCCAGCAGCAGTTCACAGCAAGGGCCACAACCTGAGGGGATTCTGTTCCCTCAGGCACTGACTCTTTCAAAGCTACTAAGGGAACTTATCTAGATCTCTGTCCCTCTAAAGAATTCAAGAGTCCAAGGTTGAGGTGGAATTCTGCCCGCTCAGAGCGACTGAATAGCAAGTAGTTCCTTTGCTGGTGTCTTCCAAAAAACCCAGAGTCCTTCCTGCCACCCCCACTTAAAAGTCCTTGCTCACTGGTTCCTCCCTACCACTTCCTGTCAGCTAGTTGCTAACTCAGCCTCCTGACTGCAGGTGAATTTGTTTAATCAAACAAATGTAGCACGTCTTTGCATCATTAAACAAAGATTCCACGGTAAAAACAAATGTAACACATCTTAATGTTCCTCCACACACATCCTTGGTGTGTCCATCTTGGCCAGTGTGTAGTTGGCGTTGGTTTTGTGCTGTTTTGTGTTCCATCATCCCTTTGCTCTGGCAATTGTTTTCTTTGCTGTACATAAACGTTTAAATTTCCTGTGACTTCATTTGCCAATTCCTGAGGTGATTTCCTGTGCTATTGGAATCCTCTTCAGAAAATCCTTTCCTGGAGGTATGACTTTTAAACAAAAAAAGCCTTTTTCTACTAAAAAGCCATTGGAGGTGCTTTAGGATTCCAGACCACATAGTCTGTCACAATCAGTATTCTGTAGTTGGAAGAGCAGCCGTAGATAATGCCTAAAAGAGCAGGCATCCTCTAATGCAACTTTATGAACATTGGAACTTCAAAAAAAAGAGCTGTTCTTTTTTCTGGTCATTTCTAAAAAGTGAAAACCATTCAGTCCCAACCTTCAGGCCATTTAAAAAGGTAGTCAACCAAATTTGACTGGCCAGTGGGCCATGCTGTGGGATGTTCTCTATGTTGTAAATGTATTGCTGTGATTGATTAATAAATAAAACGCTGATTGGCCAGTAGCCAGGCAGGAAGTATAGGCGGGACTAGCAGAGAGGAGAATTGGGGAAACAGGAAGGTGGAGTGGAAGAGACGCAGCCAGCCGCCACCATGAAAAGCAAGATGTAAGGTACCAGTAAGCCACGAGCCACGTGACAAGGTATAGATGAATAGAAATGGGTTAATTTAAGATATAGAAACTAGATAACAAGAAGCCTGAGACATTAGGCCAAACAGTTTAAATAATGTAAGCATCTGTGTGTTTATTTTAGAGGGGGGCTGTGGGACTTCCGGGGCTTGGCGGGAGCTGGAGAAAAACTCTCCAGCTCCAGGGCCATGCTTTTCTGACCTGGCCTATTTCACCTCTGTAGGTAATGCCAAGTGATGTTCGCACACTTCTAAATGGATTTGCTAAAAACCCACTGATAACCCGAAGGGAAGGGTTGTATTTCAAGGAAAGGGATTACAAATGTGTCCGGGCAGATGACTTTTCTCTTTATGCTAAGAATGTGAGTATTCAAGATTTGAAGACATATGGGTAAAAAACTCAAGAATTTTACTTCAGTTTTCTTTACCCCTCCTGATGCTCTCTACATAACAGCCTAAGGTCATTACTGCCTTCAGTCCCAGGAAGGCACGTCTGAAAATACAGAAGGGCCGGGGACGCACCTCAAGAGTAGAGAACTTGCCTAGAGTGCGCAGAGCTCTGGGTTTGGTCTCCAGCCCTGGAATGAAGTAAAGAATTAAAAAGCACTTCTTGTCCGAAAGTACTCTCAGCCCGATATCCTGGCTGTTGCAAATATTTCCTGTGGAATCTGTGACCTGAGCTACCTCTTCCTGATACACAGTTCATCCTTCACAGTGCCGTGACCTGTTTGTCTGGGTCCTGAAGCCCTGACTGGGATCAGCGAGGGAATGAAGACAGGACAGACACACAGACACATAAAGTGAAGCTGGGATCGGGTGGGGGTGTTTAAATACATTCCCAAAGCTCATACCCCTGTTAGGCACAAGAATGTTCAATCAGACACAGAGGTAGGCAAGGAATGGTTATTGGGGCCTAAGATAGCCCAGAAGACACAGCGATTAGGCTCTGGACCTGCAACATTCCAACCTCCCCACAGTCAGTGTATGGTACGTTTCTTCCAGGAACTTTTCTTCACAATACGTGCAATATTAGTCCAGAAAGCTGAAACCTTTCAGGAAACATTACTAAATTTCTCAAAAGAGTGGAAGATTAAAATACAAATACATGAATACAAAGAAGTCAGAGAAATTGTTGTTTTGGGGATTTTGTTGTTGTTTTGGTTTTCCAAGACAGGGTTTCTCGGTGTGGCTTTGGCACCTTTCCTGGAACTCACCCTGTAGCCCAGGCTGGCCTCGAACGCACAGAGATCCGCCTGCCTCTGCCTCCCGAGTGCTGGGATTAAAGGCATGTGCCACCACCGCACAGCTCGGGTGTGTGTGTGTATATGTATATGTATGTATGTCTGGGGTAGCTGCTGGCCTTGTGGTTCAGACCAAAGCCAGAGCATTCTCTTTTCTTCTTCATCCAGGAGAACACTGGTGTGGTGGTTGTGAAGACCCATCTGTATCTTCTGGTGGCCACTTACACGGCAGGCATGTATCCTAGTGTCTGTGTGGAAGCCACAGAGAAGCTGGGTAAGTTTGCCTCCCACTGAGGTGTGAGACCCTGCTCAAACTAGCCAGGGAGAAAGGAGGAATTTATTGGAGAATCCAGGGGCGGCTCACACAAACACAAAGTGTTGAGCACAGGGGAGCGATGGGAAATGCAGGGACTGTGGATGGGAGCACTGTTGGGAGTCTGTCTTGTCTCTGCTTCTGGGTAAGTCAGCTTTGTGCTGTCCCACTGCAAAGCAGCTGCTTCCTGCCCTGGCTCAGTAGCATGGTGAAGCCTCCATCCCACCCCTGCTTTTCTCTGAGGACCCCGATTTGTGTCATAGAGTTTATCCCTCTGTCAGTAAGGAGAGGTGGGCAGGGGAGCAGAGAAGCAGCAGGTTAAAAAGCAGCTAAGTCAGGCTTAGGGACCCACCCTGTACAGAGGAGAAGCTGCTAGTGGAGCAGCGGCCATCTTGGTGTGGACTGCACTCCCCTTCCCTGGTTTACAATTGTGGAACAATAAAAATAAGATTTAATAGAGAACTAAAGTGAGGGGTGAGCATAGCAAATGGTAAATCATTTTAGGTTTTATTTTACAACTATTTTGAGTTTCTAATGATCTTAGAAACAGTCCTTTGAAATAGTAGTGGCTTCTAGCAAGAAAAGCAGCCATTCACCCAGTCATTTTTCTTTTAAGATTTATTTATTATGTGTACAGTGTTCTGTCTGCACGTATGCTTATTGGCCAGAAGAGGACGCCAGATCTCACTACAGATGGTTGTGAGCCACCATGTGGTTGCTGGGAATTGAACTCTAGAAGAACCTCTAGAAGAACAGCCGGTGCTCTTAACCGCTGAGCCATCTCTCCAGCCCTCACCCATTCATTCTTGCAGCAAATAACTGTGGAGCCCAATCATGCATGTGCCCCGCAGTATCTCAGATCAAAGCTGGATAAGGCATGCCCTCTGCCTCTTGTGACTCTGTAGATGCCATCCTACCTGCCAGAAATGCATTCCTGTTCTGTCCATGCCCCCTCACATTTGGTTAGTACATTCCTCATCATCACTGAGAGTCCAAGTCAGATCTGATGTCTCTTCCACTGTGCTGTTTATTTTATGCACACTAACATTGTTATTCTCATTAGAGCTCTTCATTAATCTGGATTAGGAACCCAGAAGGCAACCATGCCATCTTCATCATCCTCCTATCTAATATCTAACACAGTACCTGCTTTTGAGTAGGAAATGACTATATGATTGATAAACAGAGACATGAATGACTTCTACCAAGCAGAATCTGGGACAGTTCCAGTGGGCTAATCTCCAATGACTGTGTGAGAAATTAAGTCCCAGAAAAGGAGGCTCAGTTTTAGTGGAGTAGGAGCAGAAACCAGACAGAGACCTATAATTTGAGCTAATATATCTCACTAAAATATCCATAATGAAAGTAGGAAGCCAGGTCACTAGGCTGTCAATAAACCAGTCTTTATCCTATTGGCTCAGAACCAAGGCTAATTCCACAGAGAAGGCCAGAAAGTTCCCTGGCTTCACTGTAATGAAGATTCTCTGACCATTCATTCATTCATTCATTTATTCGTTTATTTATTTACTCAAGGCCACAAAAGACTCCAAAGAATAACACAGGTGACACTACACCAGTTAGAACCCACTGTTGTAAGAAGGGTTGGCTGTGTTAGAAGTGTTTGGATAGGGATGGATGGGCCAGGCTGTTACCCACCAGCTGCCTGCTGCCACTGACTTAATTGTGTGTGATTCCTCCATCACTCTGGCGCTCGCTCCCTCTCTCTCTCTCTCTCTCTCTCTCTCTCTCTCTCTCTCTCTCTCTCACACACACACACACACACACACACACACACACTCTTTCTCTCTCTCTCTCTCTCATACAGAGTTTCACTGTGTACCCCAGACTGGGCTCAAATCTTCCTACTTTAGCCCACTAAATTCTGGGATTACAGGCATGTGCTATTATGCCCCCAAATTGTGTTTTTCTCTATCAAAAAAAATTATGTGATTATTGTAGAAAATTTGAAAAATAAAGAATCAGGATGATTAATTTTTTTTAATCCTCTGGGTATAGTAACATACACCTTTATTTAATCCCAGCATTTAGAAGGAGTGGGCAGATCTCTGTGAGCTCAAGGTCAGACTAATCTATAGAGCTAGTTTCAAGCCAGCCAGAGTCACATGGTGAGACCCTTATGGTGGTATTTTATTTGTACTGAAATGTGATTTTATTTGTATGTTAATAAATAAAGTTGCCTGGGGGTCAGAGCTAATAGCAAGTCATTAGAAGCTGGGCAGTGGTAGTGCACGCCTTTAATCCCAACTCTTGGGAGGCAGAGCCAGGAGGATCTCTGTGTGTTCAAGGATACAGCCAGCATGGAGACACACACCTTTAATCTCAATACCAACCATAGAAGACCTGGAGGTCTGTACAGACAGGCAGTGACGAGGCGGTCATGTGGTTGGGTTTACAACCAATGAGAAGGCAGAACAGAAAGTAGTCTATATAATGACAAACACACAGGAAGTAGCTCTCTTGGCTGAAGAGGCTAGCTGCAGCAGTGAAGGGTGAGGCTCTTAGCTCTGACCTCTTGGGCTTTCATCTTTGCATTGGTTCTGTGTTTCTTACTGAATAGGACAGTTACTTCTACAGACCCTATTTCAAGTTTTTTTATTATGAAAGATTCTAACAGCATGACTTAATAACAGCTTTAAGGAGTAAATAGGCAAATAATCCTATACTACTTCACACAAGTCAGTCAGGGTTATTTTTAAAACAACTATATTGGCAGATCATATGCATTGGTAAAATGTTAACATCACTGATTCTAAGTCAACAGTTTTAAAAGTTAGTATGAAATTATTAAAGAACTATAATGATTCCTTAAACTTCCTGTGCCTTAACTCCTAGACAGACAAACAGATGTCTTAGTTTCATCACCTGAGAGTTGCCTCGCTCTTTACCAAACCCACATGTAAGAATCTGGGCTCTGTGTTTTGACATCTACATGGAAAGAAACAGATGTTTCATGGTTTGGGTATTTTGTTTATTCTCATGAGAATATCATCTAAGACCTTATTGCCAGTTCTATAACATAGATGAATACAAAAATAGAATTCATTTTTCTGAATTTGCCTGGCAAGTTTTTAAAGGTCTTATTTTTGTTTGTTTTTGCTTTTTGATCTATGTAGTACTGATTGGCCTAGAACTCCACATGCAGATTAAACTGGCCTTAAACGTGACATAATGTTTTTGCTTCTAACACCCAAGTGGTGGGATTCTAAGAGTGTGCTGCCATGCCTGACTAAAAGTCTGCTGACACTTAATACAGTCCTGGTCCCCACCATTTCCATCTGTCGTGGGTGCCGCAGAGCAGTGGTTCTCAATCTATGGGTCGTGACCCCTTTGGGGGGTCAAACCACCTTTCACAGGGGTCACCTAAGACCATCAGAAAATACAGATATTTACATTATGATTCATAACTAGCAAAATTACAAATGTAGGTAGCAATGAAATAATTTTATGGTTGGGGGTCAGCACATCATGAAGAACTGTATTAAAGGATCAGAGCATTCGGAGGTTTAGAATCATTGTGGCAGAGGAAGGCAAACTGAGTAACTTCCAGCAGTCAGTTTAAGAAACAAGTAGAATTTTTGATGAGTGAAACACAGCTTTCATATTTTTCTTATTAACCAATTTTTTTTTTAAATGAAGGAGCAGGCAGCAGGTTCTACTGTTCCCTGAGCTCTCCCCCACCCATTTTCCATCGACAGTTATGTGTACCTTCATTCTCTACGTGGAGAACCAACCACTCTCCAGAGCAGCTTAAATATCTCTACCACTATGAAATCAAATTGAGGATTGCATACATCTCTCTCTCCTAGTAGACACAGACCTCCACAAGGACAAGGCCTGTGTTTTAACTAGCCCGTCATCCTTGTGACATGACATGGTCCAGCACATGGTAGTCAACCAACACTGCTTATTGGGAAATGAGTGAACTACATTGTAATGGCAGTTCACTCCTCGGAAATCATTAACATGCTGTGTTTCTTTCAGGAGAATATCTAAGAAAAAAAGGAAATTAAGTCAACAGAAAACTAGTAAAGACACCTTTATTATCTTGAAAGAAAAGTCTAGATCCTTAAGAAGAAGTATTTTGTGGTTGAAAAACACTGAGTGGAAGATTAAAACAAAGACTGAGTTAAGGGAACATTTTTTTCTCATTTCAAGAAGTCACCATCTCTAACTGGAAGGACCTGACCAGCTCGTTCCTTTTCTTTAGGCGTTGGTCACTGATTTGAAACCTGAGTGCACTAGGCTTTTCACAGCACAAGTCTGTTGGGAGTCTCACCTTCAAGTCCCTACACATCTTGCCAGAGATTCCAAGAATGTAGGCCCTAGCCTCTCCTGTGTGTGAGCCACACGCGCATCAAAGTTAGAGGACAGCTATGGCAGTCAGCTCTCCTCTCCCACCACGTGGGTAGTGGGAATGGAACTCGGGTCGTAAGGGTTGGTGGCAAGTAAACCCACCGAACCATCTCACCAGTTCCCCCAACCACTCTGTACCTAGGCCACGTCAGCGTCATGCCACCTTTAAAAATTAAAGTAATGCTTCTTCCTGTGGGGGGAGGGACTTGCTAAGTGCTTTCTGTCAAAGAAGTAGAGCTCCTGAGTTCAGTGCCCCTTTATTAAAATATAGATTGCATTGCATGTGTGACAGCTGCCTTGTTCTCACCAATCATATGGGACCTGTGGGGCAGGGAGCCAATGCAAAGGCCACCCAATAATAGGCCACGAATCAGAGTATTGGACGGACACTCACTGTCTATCTCAGGCATCGGATATTGTTCAGCATTACAACGGCCTTCTCAAACTCGGGAAATTTCTGACCACCTCTCCCACTGCTTCTGAGTCTACATCTCTTAATGAGGCAGAATGGCTACCGAGTAACCTCTCTGAGAAAGGGTTCTTCCGTTGACCACCTGCTACATGATGATCAGGACAATAAGAGAGAGAGAACTTATTGTGATAATTTAGGGTTCTGCCATAGCCACTCCTGCAAAGGAAGCATCTTTCTTTCTCTACAGCAGCCCCAGGCCAGGCTGGTCAGTGAGCCCTTTGGTACACCCTTCGGTGGACCATTCAGTGCATCCTCCAGTACACCCTCCAGTACACCCTCCAGTGCACCCTCCAGTGCACCCTCCAGTGCACCCTCCAGTGCACACTCCAGTGAACCCTCCAGTGCACACTCCAGTGAACCCTCCAGTGCACACTCCAGTGAACCCTCCAGTGCACCCTTCAGTACACCCTCCAGTACTCCCTCCTGTGCACCCTCCAGTACACCCTCCAGTGCACCCTCCAGTGCACCCTCCAGTACACCCTCCAGTGCACCCTCCAGTACACCCTCCAGTGCACCCTCCAGTACACCCTCCCTCCAGTGCACCCTCCAGTACACCCTCCAGTGCACCCTCCAGTACACCACCTCAGTGAACCCTTCAGTGCACACTTCAGGAATTGCTTTTAGGGAGGAAATGGTTTGGATCTTTGGACAAGAGAGAGCCTGGGAATACAAACTTAACTCTGCTTTGGCCAGATTGGATTGCCCTGATCCTTAAGGATGATGATTATTTAAGTGAATGCACTGTTTTCCAGGTCCCTCTACAGTATACTTTACATGGACCAGAGGGACATGCAGCAGGTCTCTAAATATTGTAAGAAACCCCTAGTCTCAAATATGACCCTTCTAAATGAAGTGTCTGGATGCAAACAGACTGTTTGGGACTAGGTTTGAGAGTGTCATTGTGATGGGATACCCCAGTTATATGGTGAATGGACACAGAGGCCCTGGTACCCAGAGAGGTAACCTTAGACTTCAGGGGCTGGGGAAGTGGTGGAGCTCGTTACATTAGTTTTGTCTCCTATATTCTATGCCACAATCAGCAACACAGTTGCTTGATCTAACTTTCTAGCTTTGATAGAGTCAAATCAAATCCTATGCCCTTTGCAGTTTTGATATTGTCAGGCAGAAAGACACCGTGTTCTGAATCCTGAAGACATTCTATTCTGGGAAAAATATCTTTTGGTGCTTATGAAATTCTCTCATTTTCAAGTTTTATCCCACAACCTTTCAAAGAGTTTCCAACGTCAGTCTTTTTCTGAGTGTAGGTGCTAAGGGTCACAAATGTGTTCTTAGTGGTCAACGTTCCCGCCGAAACCATTTACCCATTTAATTGCTTGGCTTTTGAAAGAGGTAAGTTTCAAATTGATTTCTTTCATATTGAATAGCCTGCCGAATGCTAAGTAGCAATGAACCAACAGTAAATACCTCATCTTCTCCACCACTGATAGGTTCACAGTTTAGTAGGGTACGCAGATTTGTGAGTCATATGATCATGTGATCAACCCTGCATAAGTTCAGATATGAAACAATCCCAGAGCACAGAGCTTGGAGCTACTGACTGTCCCAAGAAGCCCCTTCAGGGTTTTTTGAGACTCTGAAACTGGCATTAGAAGTGAGTTTGAAAGAGTAAGCATAGAAGAGAGCAGAGAGCATACTAGGGTGAAGGGTGGCATATGACAGAGTCATGGCACTTCCTGGCATGCACAGAATGGTGAGGAGTTCAAGACAGATGGAGAACAGTATGTGTGGCTATTCCCCAAGAGAAAAGGACTCTCAAAGGACATCAGTAACTACGGACAACACTTTTATAATACTTAAGTTTAAGCTGGGGATGTAGCTTAGGGATAAAACACCTGCCTAGCATGCTAGAAGACCTGAGATCCAGCCTCAGTGCTCCTGAAATAAAAACTAAATACATATACATATAAATGCCCTAAACTTAGTCTTAATCTATTAAGAATACAAAAAATATTAAAGAATATTAAAAACTTGGGAAAAATAAGCTGCTCATAATTTCACACTAAATGAAAACTATTGATGATTTCACTTTTACCCAGTCTCTTTCAATGTCCATATGTTTTAACCTTATCTAATTCCTTAGTGCATATAACTGTCATCTGCTATGTTCATTTAGCATTGAATTATTTCTTGAATATCACTAAAATTCCTTAAAAAAACACTATCAAATCATTGCATATCCTTTGATTTAAATATACATCCTTCTGTTAGCAGCTTTAGTTATTTCCACCTTTTTTTTTTTGTGGTTTTTTTGAGACAGGGTTTCTCAGTGTAGTTTGGTGCCTGTCCTGAATCTTGCTCTGTAGACCAGGCTGGCCTCGAACTCACAGAGATCCACCTGGCTCTGCCTCCCAAGTGCTGGGATTAAAGGCATACACCACCACTGCCCAGCTATTTCCACTTTTTTTTATATCACCAATACTCCTATTTGACTGTTTACATAGATCTTCCTCCAGGTTTGGGATTCAGTCTTCAGTGATTTCTCCTCATAATGTAACACACTTGGAGTGTATAATTCAGGATGCTGTGTACCTACCCCTAGGCTGATAAACAGAGGAGCTGACCCTAAACTACAGTGCCATGCAAGGGTGACCATGAAACATCTTGGTGGTTCACCGATAGCCAACTGACAGCCTTTCCTAGGTACTTGACCACTGCACTGCTTGGGAAGGACTCTCCGTCACTTCCTATAACTAACTCTCCTTACAAAGTTGCCACTGTGTCCAGGTATATAAAGACACAAAGAAGTAACCCTTTGGGGTAGTTGCACAGTACTGGTAGAAATGCCCAGAGAGCCTGTGATCTTCTCAAACAAGAGTCTCCAAACTAAGGATATTCCTATCATGGTAGTTCACAATAACTTTGGAAGGCCGGCAATGGCATGCATAGATTAAAGGGTTCCCCTACCCCAGATTCTTTTCTTTGGGGTTGGGGGGGGAGGTCCAGACAGTGTTTCTCCTTGTATCCCTGGCTGTCCTGGAACTCCCTCTGTAGACCAGGCTGGCCTCAAACTCAGAGATCCGACTGCCTCTGCCTCCCCAGTTGCTGGGATTAAAGGCGTGCGCCACCACACTCAGCTCCGCCCGAGATTCTTAACTCCTATATGTACTTTGCTAAAGCTAAACTCCTGAGATTGAGGGCTCATGTCACATCTCTTTTCTTTCCTTTGCCCTATCCCGCCTCCCATCTCCAGGACACAATCTTGCCCATCCCAAACCACACTTTGGGGCTTAGTGTTCAGTAAAAACCACACCGTGCTAAAGGAAAGGAAAATACTAGATACTTTTAGATACAATAACCTCCTCATCCTGCATGGTGCAAACAGGCATCATCTGTGACGTGGAGTCCCGTGAGAGTAAAGCAGAAAAGCATCCGTGAGACACAGCAAACACCTCTGTGTGGACTGGAGTTGGCTCAGCAGCTTGGAACACTGGCTGCTCCTCGGAGGACCTGGGTTCACTTCACAGCACCCACATGGCTGCTTACAGCCACCTGGAACTCCAGTTCCACTCACACAGATGAGGTAAAATACATACATGTTTTAAAAATTAAGGAAAATCGCCGGGCGGTGGTGGCGCACGCCTTTAATCCCAGCACTCGGGAGGCAGAGCCAGGCGGATCTCTGTGAGTTCGAGGCCAGCCTGGGCTACCAAGTGAATTCCAGGACAGGCGCAAAGCTACACAGAGAAACCCTGTCTCGAAAAACAAAAAAAAAAAAAAAAAAAATTAAGGAAAATCTTTATAGCATAATTCATCTAGGAAAGGAAAGCTTCACACTTTTCCCCCTCAGTTATTTCTTAAATTTCAGAGACAAGATGATTGTCCCAAGATGTGTGATTATGATTACTTGAAATGAAAAATCCTTTATTATTTATTATGTATTCAATGTTCTGCCTGCATATATGCCTGCATACCAGAAGAGGGCATCAGATCTCATTAGGGATGGTTGTGAGCTACCCTGTGGTTGCTGGGAATTGAACTCAGGACCTCTGGGAGAACAGCCAGTGCTCTTAACCGTTGAGCCATCTCTCCAGCCCCAAAAAAATCCTTTCTTAGAGAAGGGGATTTAAGATATAAAAAGTTAGATAATCAACTTCAAAATGTGAGAAGGGGCATATAATTCCCGGGTATGGTAGCACACCCCTTTAATCCTAGCACTTGGGAAGCAGAGGCAGGCAGATCTCTGAGTTAGAAGCCAGCCTGGTCTACATAGTGAGTTCCAGGACAGTCAGGGCTCCACAGAGAGACTATGTCTTGAAAAAAACAAAATTCTGAGGAGTGCTTTATGTATATTTGAAAACTCAAAAGGTGAAAATCACCTTCTGAGTTGAGAAGAAAAACCTTAGACTCTGAGTCATGAGGACTAGTATCCAGGAAGAGGAAACCAAAGCAGGTAGTTAAACAGTCCACAGAGGCCGGGGGTGAAGGATGAAGAAGCCCTCTCCTTCCCCAAGAGCCTTCCTAAGACTTAGAGTCCTGGGTCCTGAGATTTGCCTCATCAGCCTTAAGGAGTAGTGCTGTGGAGGGAGGTCACATAGTACCCAGGAGCCAGGGACAGTCCTGCCGCAGGAAAGCTAGTGTGTTACTGGTTGGTGAAGCTCTGTAGCTTCCCTAGGGAAAGTGTCAAGCCTCACACTCTTCCAGATGGTGCTGTTCCAGATGGTGAGTCACCCGAACTCCTGGCTGCCCAAATAGAGAAACTGCTGCCTCAAGGTGACACAGCAGAACTTTGCCGAACCTTTGGAGTAGCTGGAAGCCTCCTAGGAACCTAGGAAAGATCAATCCTTCCAGCCCACTTGCCTATCAGATAAGCATGTAAGTCCAGATCAGGGTTTCTGGAGTCCATCATCTATACCTACCCCAAGAGATAGTGTGTATTCTGACAGATGAACTTCTGGGCAAAAGATAGAGGTAAAAGGACTCTAGGATACAGACCTTTACTTAACTAGCTACTGGGAAATAACCAGGCAATCCTAAAAGCTGGATCATCCCAGAAGGGGTAGTGTTCCACAGATCTACTACTAATGTAGCCAGGAGTCAGCAAACCTGGAAATAAGACAATCTCCGTAGCACAGAGGGGTGCCACACAGGCCACCCACTGCTCTGTGACGGTCTCCTCTGTTTGAAGACCAGCTGCTTTGGCCAGTTCCTGCTCTCCACTTCTGTCCTTTTCTCTTTCTATTGGAGGTATTCAGTGGGAGTTGAGATAGCCACTCCCACGGACTCGGGAGTCCCTAGGGTCAAGTGGTCCTGATAAGGTATTGACACCCCTCCCAGATCCCCATCCCTGACACATCAAATAGAGCTTTTAATCTGCTCGCACATCTGGGTGTTGTGGCTCAGGCTTGCAAATCCAGCACCTCATGGGAAGTCTTTCATGGAGCTCATACAGTGGGCATATCTTGCCTCTGAGCAAGGACCATTTCCCAAGGTGGGCAAGACGTTAGGTACTGCTTGCCCAAGGCACAAGTGAGCATAGTCCTATCAGGCACTATGACCTGTCTCCTTGGCTCGGGTTCTCTCCCCTCTCATATCCATAGTTTTGAAGACTGCCTCTGTCCATCCCCCCCACCCCCCACCCCGCAATGACTGTACTGCCTTCCTACCAACCGCGGTGGCCAATCACAGAGCGGGATCCAAGATGGCCACTCCTTCCTCCAGACATGATTTATCTTCCCGGAAGAGAGCTCTAATGCTCCTGTCCAGAACTGAACCAGCGCGGAGAGGTTGGTTGAGCACAAGAACTACGGAGAAAACAGGGAGAAAATGGTCATCACAGCCTCCCCCAACCCTGCTAGAGTTCAAGGGCGCATGACGCCCCTCAAGAGCCCAATTCATGTAACATTAGATTCTGAAAATGAAGAATGAGCAGCACATGCACACCGAAGAGGATGACATGGGCCCACCAGCCCACCCCCCCTAAGCATGCATAGCACCGTAGTAAGAGGGCTGCGCTGACAGGTTGTAAGGTAAGGCCCTGTGGTTAAAATACGATGATTAATCTAGACTTCAACTTTATGGGATTTAGGTCACCATGGAAACAAATCTTTGAACACATCCATAAGGGATTATCTAGGTTAGGTTAATTGAGGTTAAAAGACCCATTCTAGGCCGGGCGGTGGTGGCGCACGCCTTTAATCCCAGCACTCGGGAGGCAGAGCCAGGCGGATCTCTGTGAGTTCGAGGCCAGCCTGGTCTCCAAAGCGAGTTCCAGGAAAGGCGCAAAGCTACACAGAGAAACCCTGTCTCGAAAAACCAAAAAAAAAAAAAAAAAGAAAAGAAAAAAAAAACCCATTCTATTCATGTGTGGTATGATTCATAAGTTATCAACCCAAACACACACACACATACACATACACACACACACACACACACACACACACACACACACACACACACACACGGGATGGGGTGGGGATATGAGCACATGTGTTCATCACAGAATCCAACATTTTGAAACAATAATCCTTGGTTAAAGTGGTTAATAACAGTGGCGTCACTCAGAGGTTGAACAGGTAGTTCCTGAGCAGATGCCCTGAAGAAATGCTTCTTTTCCCCTACAGATGGAGGCTTGCTGTGTTGTCCAGGCTGACCCCCAGTTCATGATTCTCCTGCCTCAGCATTCTGAGTAACTGGAGTCAAAAGTACATGCTACCACACCACCAAAGAAGTGTCTTTGGGCACATACCTTTAATCCCAGCACTCGGGAGGCAGAGGCAGGCAGATCTCTGTGAGTTCGAGGCCAGCCTGGGCTACAGAGTGAGTTCCAGGAAAGGTGCCAAAGCTACACAGAGAAACTCTGTCTTGAAAAATCAAAGAAGAAGAAGGAGGAGGAGGAGGAGGAGGAGGAGGAGGAGGAGGAGGAGGAGGAGGAGAAGGAGAAGAAGGAGAAGAAGAAGAAGAAGAAGAAGAAGAAGAAGAAGAAGAAGAAGAAGAAGTGTCTTTTGCATGAGGCATGCTTTGTACAAGCATCTACCCTTTCAGCCTTCCATGGTCGTTACTGTCAGACAGTCATGCATAAGAACATTCCTCACCTTCTGGCTTGATTTTCTAATCGTTTGCTAGGGCAGACACATGCAATTCTATTTTGGTCCTGACAACGTTCACAACCTGAAGTGCTACTGAGTCGAGATCTTACTAAGTACAACATCGTTTCTCGCTCACCTTGGGGAAGGTTCCTTGCTGAAGGCCACCAGAATCTGACAATCTGGTAGCAAGATATACCCACTGTAGGAGCCCAGGAAAGACTTCCCATGGAGGCATTCGGTTTGCTGGCCTACAGCAGAACACCCAGACTGGCACTTTTTTTGTTTTTTGAGACAAGGTCCTGTTAACAAAATACCTTGTATTCATGTGTTGCTAAATCTCCTTCCCAAGGAGAGAAGTAATCAATGTCCACCCCTTCTCCTAAGTCCCCAACAACGAACAGAGGAACTATTCTGCCAAAGTTCACTTGGGGAGCCAGTGAGTGTGTTGGGGTTCCTTAGAGCATAGGTGAGGGGTTACTTACAAGGACATGAGCGTTCCTCCCCACACCACACCACACTCATTAAGCCCTTATCTGGAAGGGATGAAGGTTTCCCCACAGAGGAATAGATGGAGCCCCTCAGCCCTATCCCCCCACCCCCACCTCACCCAGCCTGTATGGTCTACTCCCTCCCCAAGGCCATGTTCATCAGGTGAAGGGATTGTGGTGCGCGCATACACACACATACACACACACACACACACACACACACACACACACACACACACACACACCCCTCTCTCTATGTGTAAACAGTCAGAAGCCCAGAAGAGATCCTTCTGCAAGGAGGTAGAGCTGAATTCCCCAAGATGGCTATTGGTGGGGCTGGAGGGTAGTCACTCACAACAGCATGTCGAAATTCTTAAAGAATAAATAGGCAGGTTGGTGGTGCCCCACGCCTTTAATCCCAGCACTTGGGAGGCTGGAGGATCTCTGTGAGTTCGAGGCCAGCCTGGACTACAGATCAAGTTGAAGGACAGCCGGGGCTACACACAGAAACTCTGTCTCAAAAAATAATAACAAAATACCCAAATAAATATTGAAATGAAAATAATAAACTGATGACAAGGCCTCGGGTTTGTTGCCCAGATTGGCCTTGAGCTGACACTCCTGTGTCATCCTCTAGAGTAGCTGAAATTATAGGCAGTGGCTTCTGTATATTCTCCTAACCTGGTGGTCCCCCAATAGGGCCCCTCGGGGGCATCCGATAATGTCTGAAGAGTGTTGTTATAGACACCATTGAGTATGTGGGATGCTAAACATATAGTGCAGAGGGCAATCTCCCACAATGAAGAATTACTTATTCCTAAATGTTAATTGTGTCAAGGTCAAGAAATCCTGATGGAGGCATGAGAGGCCCCCTTTCGAGTTGTTGGTCAGGGCTGTTCAAAAGATTCCCCAAACATTCGAGACTGTTGTTATTGCCTTTGGTTTCATCCCAGAGGTAGAAAGTAAAGCTCTATTGTTGAACACACCACATACCTCAGACACTGGACCCAGAGGTCCCTGAGCTGGAACTGACCTGAATGCCTCATCCCTGAGGACTAGCATTCATGGTACTAAGAGGTGTCTTATAAGCTTCCAACAGTCCTACCCAGCTGTGACACCCAGGAACCACAATATGGGAATCCAGCTCCCACTTTTTGAAGGGTTCTTAGGTAAAGGAGAGAGGAATGAGGAAATATCAGATAGAAAGAGAGATCCAGCGGACGAGAAGAAAGACAAAAACCACAGAATAGCTTAGGGAGGGCCTGGGTCAATACCCAACAGCCTCGTCTTTTATTCAAAAGGACTTTTTATAATATGCCAAGGGGAGAGAGGCAAAAGACCTCCCCCTTGCAAGATCAAAGCACACCATACAGCCAAGTGTAGATAGACCCTTCCAAACACCTGGTAACCACGCCCGTGACCAAATCATCTCCTCATGCAGCCCTGCTGGGTAAAGCAAGCTCAGATTCTCTGACCCTGAGTAAGTACTCACTAGAAAGCCTCTATGGGCTCCCACACCACAACAGTGACCAGTATGGCATCAAACCCCTACCAGTGAGACAGTGGCACAAATACCTTGGTGGCGACAGACAGCTCTATAATTGACTTCAGACCCACTCGACAGAAGTTAATCATCTCTGCCACTGGAAACCTAGCCAACTGCCCAGGATTAGTGAAATCATGAATCTTGGAGAATTTTCAAGCACCACCTAACTAAATCAGCAAAATCCCTCACTACACTCTAAACGTTTGTCCTTACTCCCACAGATAAGTGTGGTCCTCGCCCCCTCATCAAGGAAACGTCTCTTTACAATAGGCAGAGACCATCACAGAAAACCCCAACCAATCAAAACACAGAGTTGTGGAGGCCAGTCCCAGTGGATACATGTACACCACAACTCAAGAGCTGTAGCATAAACAGACCAAGGGGAGCCTGGCTTGATTGGAAAATGGACGTATCAGGGTCTTAGGTTGCAGCTGAGCCTACGTCGTCTGTAAAGAGGGAAGTTCTGTCTTATCTAATGAGAGCTGGGGCAGCTTCCAATGTCCCCTAAGCTGGGGAAAAGAATATCCAAACCACCATTCTGTCGCTTTGCATTTTAAAGGGTGAAAAGGACGAGATTGGGTTGGCTCCTTTAGGTCCCACCCCTTGGACGGCTCAGAGTTCAGGCATTCATTCCAGGGACAGCTGAGGGCGGGTCCCTTGGCTCTAGGGTGCGGCCACCAGCACCCAAAGGAGCCAAGACGGGCAGTACCTGCTGAACCAGCTTAGTTAAATTGTTCCCATGGCCTGAAGGGGCCTGTCGACAGGACTGGAGATTCCAACCCAGAAACAGGGTAATTTGTTGCAGCCGTTCAGTGTTTCCAGCCCTGGACCGCAATTAAAAGCGTGTCTTCCGGGACCAAGAGCCAGTGTGTAGGGATTGCAGGGTCCTGGGAGACAGGATCCAGGATCTGAGCCAGCGGTCACCTGTAGTGGACGCCGCGCAGGGGTGTCCTACCCTTCTTTTCTTCGGGAGCCTGGGTTTTTCTGCCTGACTGCCCGGTGTTCTCAGCATGCTGGCGGTGCACTTTGACCAGCCAGGGGGACCAGAAAACCTCTACCTGAAGGAGGTGCCCAAGCCGAGCCCAGGAGAGGGTGAAGTCCTCCTGAAGGTGGCAGCCAGCGCCCTGAACAGGGCTGACTTACTCCAGGTACCCAGGGGTTCCAAGGGTCAGTGCAGGGTGGGCTCCAGGGCTCGACCTCTGTCTTCAGCGAAGGGACCAGACAGAGCAAACAAGGATTGGGATGTTGCCCGCAGCACCCGTTAGAACAGCTGTGCTGGGGTTGTGCGACCCAAAGCCAAGTAGCCACTTTGTTGCCATAAATGAGGGGGATGTGCTGAGGGTGTAGCTCATTGGGAGAGCCTCTGCCTACCACGCTCCAGGCCCTGGGTGATGCTCCACAACAAAACAAAAACAAGGGTGTCTGCAAAGCAGAATCCACTATGTAACACTCATTATCTTCCCTGGCATCCAAGAAAACAGCAGGGAAGCACCGTTTGTTGACACCGGGAGGGCGGAGGGGGGGGGGCGGGACGGGGTACACCTGCCCCTAATAAACTCCTCAGACAAGCCCATTTATATTTTACACATAAAGTCTCAGAGGAAGACCTAGAACACAGTTAAGACACCGTCCCTTCAGATTCCCGCCCCGGGCTTCATAAATGTCTTATCTAAACTGCTGTGCCCACGGAACCCAGATTAGAACAAAGTGCTTGTTAATTAAACTTTGGTTAGGATTTTCTCACAGGCCGTGGATTGAACCCATTTGAAGCACAGTTAGCCTGCCACCCCCTCCCTTTTTTTTTTTTTTTAACAGACTCTTGAAAATAGGCTGGATTCCAGGTAGCATAAGAACAGGCAAGGAAGCAAACTGTGTGCACCCATGTGGACTGATTAATAAGTTATAATGTAAATAACCTCTCCCCGATACTCCTGAAAGTAACCCAAAGAAATTCACTGGCCCAGAAAAAAAAAAAAGTTATAGTCCGATCATAAGATAGAGTGCTGACAGGCAACTTTCATTTATTTATTGTTTTAATTTTTCACTTTAAAAATTATTTGAATAATCTTAATGATAATAATAAGAAGAAATTAAAAATAAAATAATAATGAAAAGTTGTTTTAACCCCACGTAGCCCAGGACAGTCTCAAACTTGAGACCTTCCCAACTCAGTCTCTAGAATGCTGACATCATAAACATGCGCCACCGAGGCAGCCTACAATTTTAAGAATGGATGATCCCAGCACTGTAGAGGTTGAAGCAGGAGGATTGCCTCAAGTTTGAGGCCAGCCTGGGCTACAAAGAAAGACCTGGTGGTGGGGGACCGGGGGAGGGCTGGGGGGCGGTTAAACCAACAACTACAGAGATGAAATCAAGCAGGGCCAGGGCCATAACTTTGTGGTAGAATATTTTCCCACCATGCTCAAGGGCCTCAGCACCACACAAGCAGACAAAATGACGCAGATGTATACAAGGAAGGAAGGGAGGGTGAGGCGTAGCTCAGTCAGCAGCGTGCCTGCCTAGCTTGCGAAGCTCAGGGTTTGAGCTCCAGCACCGCATAGTACTGCATACCCCAGCCCAGTACTTCCTTCACAGCTGAGTTAGTTGAGATCAATTAGAAATGTCCATCAGGGATCGGGACAGTGACTCCGTTGGTGAACTGCTGACGGAGCATGCATGAAGACCTGAGTTTGGACTGCCAGCACAATCATTAAAAACCAGGTGTGCGGACTGGAGAGAAGGCTCAGCGGTTAAGAGCACCGACTGCTCTTCCAGAGGACCTGGGTTCAATTCCCAGCACCCACACGGCAGCTCACAGCTCTCTGTAACTCCAGTTCCAGGGTATCTGGCATCCTCCACAGATGTACATGTAGGCAAAACACAACTTCACATAAAATAAAAATAAATAAATCTTAGTGTGCCTGTCATCCCAGAGACAGGAGAATCCCCCAGAGACAGGTGAATCCCTGGGGCTTGCTGGCCAGCCAATCTAGTTGAACAAGTAATTCTAGTTTCAGTGAGAGACCCTGTGTCAGAATATAAGGTAGAGAGCCATGGAGGAAGGCACTCAGTATTGACCTGTGGATTCCATGTGCATGCCACACACATCTGTGCATGTACACACACAGAAAGAAATGTGCATCCGAATCAACTGGCAAACTTTTTTAAATTAACATGGCAGGGCCAGGCAATTGTAGTTTGAAATAGTTTTTGATGCAAAACTCCAGTTAGGTCCCTGTGGTCTAAAGCCTTTGAGACCCGGGGTAAGTACAGTCTGTCATTCAATAAATATCTATAATTGATCTATAATTTTGCCCCTAGTCTCTCTAATAATTTACTTTGCAATCTTGGACAAGCCATTTCCCCACCCCCTGGTCTCTTGCTTTTTTGTACAATAAAGGACTTGAGTAAATCAACTAGCTGAGGACTCTACCAGTTATGGCTGATGTTTGTGACCTGTAGCCTTTTATTTATACAAACTAAGCCATCTCCTCTCCTCTTATAAAGCTGGATTCCGCTGGGCAGTGGTGGCACACATCTTTGATCCCAGCACTTGGGAGGCAGAGGCAGGCTAATCTCTGTGAGTTTGAGGACAGCCTGGTCTACAGAGTGAATTCTAGGACAGCTGGGGCTACACAGAGAAACACTGTCTCAAAAAAACAAAACAAGGGGTCGGGGATTTAGCTCAGTGTTAGAGCCCTTGCCTAGGAAGCGCAAGGCCCTGGGTTCAGTCCTCAGGTCTGAAAAAAAAAAAGAAAAAAGAAAAGAAAACAAACAAACAAAAAACCCACAAACAACAAAAAGATTAAAAAAAAAAACAAAAAACCAGACTTCATCCTGATTTTTTTCCCATCTGTGAAAAGGAAGAGCCATTGGAGGGGGGCCAGGGATGGTGACACACAAATTCCAGCTTATGCTCCCTACTTACTGTGCCTCTCTTTCTGCAGAGAGTGGGCCAGTATGCCCCACCCCCAGGAGCCAGTAGCATTTTGGGACTTGAAGCATCTGGACAAGTGGCTGAGCTGGGGCCTCGCTGCCAGGGACACTGGAAGGTCGGGGATTTGGCCATGGCTTTGCTGCCTGGGGGAGGCCAAGCTCAGTACGTCACTGTTCATGAAGATCTCCTCATGCCTATCCCAGAAGGACTGACCCTGAATCAAGCTGCAGCCATCCCAGAGGCCTGGATTACTGCCTTTCAGCTCTTACATCTCGTAGGTGAGGGTGCCTGCCGCTCACTTCACACAGCAAGGCTCACTCCCCAGTGAGCCAACCTCCCCACACCCCAGCAGTCCTCCGGGACACCCAGTACCCAGCACCCTACCTTGCTGTATCACTAACACTGCCAGGCCATCAAACCATGTTAAAATGGCTTGATATTGGGGGCGGGGTGAGAACCATGGTTAGCAGATAGGAGGTCTAGGAACATCTTAACACAAGACCTGGGAGCAATCTGCACCTCAGGTCACGTGGACTTCTCTATGAGGCCCAGTGCAATGTAAGAGGCCGACTAGGGATGTATCTCAGTGTGGTAGAGCATTTTCCTAGCATGCTCAGAGGCCTGTGCCAGATCCTCAGCTTTGAAAGAGAAAGGAAGGAAAGAAAAAGAAAAACATAGCCATAGACTTTTGGGGAATAGCTCTATCTTGAACAGCAGCTGAGGTCTGAGGTGGGAAAACCTGATGTGAGCAAGGGTGGCTGGAGACGGCTGTTGGGAACAAAACGACTTGAGCTGTGGTAGATGCATCAAGGCAGGCCAAGAAAGCTCAAGGTGAAGGCGGCTGCTCCACTCAGAGATGAGGGATGGTTGTTATCATTTGTAAAAAGATGATGACGGACGATGGTGGCGCACGCCTTTAATCCCAGTACTTGGGAGGCAGAGTCAGGTGGATCTCTGTGAGTTCGAGGCCAGCCTGGTCTACAGAATGAGATCCAGGACAGGCACCAAAACTACACAGAGAAAAAACCCTGTCTCAAAAAAAAAAAAAAAAAAAATGGCATTGGGCAGATTGAAGACCTTGAATGCCAGACTGTAGCTAGAGTTTTCCTGCCTGACCCACAGTCAGGACAAATCTCTCTCACCTGTCAGTCCCACAGCCGCTCAGACCCAACCAAGTAAACACAGAGACTTATATTGTTTACAAACTGTATGGCTGTGGCAGGCTTCTTGCTAACTGTTCTTACAGCTTAAATTAATCCATTTCCATTAATCTATACTTTGCCACGTGGCTCATGGCTTACCGGTATCTTGACATGCTGTTTCTCATCATGGCGGCTGGCAGTGTCTCTCTGCCTCAGCCTTCCACTTCCCAGCTTTATTCTCCTCCTTGTCCCGCCTATACTTCCTCCTGCCTGACTACTGGCCAATCAGTGTTTTATTTACTAACCAATCAGAGCAACACGTTTGCCGTACAGAACATCCCACAGCACCAGACTGTTTGGACTCAGTGCAAAGCCAAAAAGTCACTTCTCCTTTTGAGAAAAAAAAAAAAAAAAAAAAAAAAAAAAAAAAGATGATAAAGAAAGCTCCATTTGGATTGGAGGAGTCTGATGTCTATGTGAGACACTGGATCAGTGAGACCAGCGAAAGCCAGACTGAGACTGAAGAAAGCCTGACTTCAAGTGATGACAATGGGGATGGGGGTTATTCTTGCTTTAAAAAGTGTGTATGTAGATATATGCATTTGGGTGTTGTTATTTCGTATTTTGAATAGAGATACTGGATGTGGCTACCAACAGTTTTGTTTAGCCCGTTTTCCACCTGATCAGAGACAGTAAAGGCAAAAAGAAAAGAGAGGGAGAAAGAGAGACAGAGATAGAGAACTGTCAATGTGTCCCTTCAGAAAGCAAGATATTTGGCATCTGGTCCAAGAGTCAAGTGAGGTAGACAGGCTATTTAGTTGGACAGAAGAATTGGCAGGTTCCACGGTGTCTATACTTTTCATCACAGGCCACGTTCAGGTTGGAGACTTAGTGCTGATCCACGCAGGATCAAGTGGTGTGGGCACAGCTGCCATCCAGCTGACTCGGAAGGCTGGCGCTATTCCTCTGGTTACAGCCGGCTCCCCGCATAAGCTTCAAATGGCGGAAAAGCTTGGGGCTGCTGCTGGATTCAATTATAGAGAAGATTTTTCTGAAGCGACATTGAGAGTCACTAACGGTAAGTCACTCCTTCTGCAACTCAGCAGACAAAAAAAAAAAAAAAATGATTAAACGAAATCTTCGTCTCCATGGTTGCCAGTGTGCTGGGTCAGTCTAGACTTTGCTGGAAGGACTATCGTTGCCCTGGCCAAACTGGTGTAACCTGGTGTTTGAATACTAGAGACTGGCAGCCAGCACAAGGGTCTAAGGTTATTTCAGTGTTGTCCATGTCCATGCAGGGCAAGAACTCCATCACTAAGAGCTACATCCCTAACCCACAATGTGCATTCTTGCAGGCGACATGGTTCAAACATGTTTAGAAACTGCATAACCCCACAGAGTTGACCTGGAATTTATCCAGGGCCCATTCTTCCCAAACAGCCACTCTGTAGTGAGTTAACAGGAAGCCTGCAGCACAGACTAATCCAGAGATGGTCAAAGTAGGGCTGGGGTGAGAGCCCCGTAAGCAGATGTGTGTGTGTGTGTGTGTGTGTGTGTACTCCAAGGCCAAATCTGGAGTTTTTTGAAGACAGGGTTTCATGTTTCCAGACTGGACTCAAACTCTCTATAGCTGAGAGTGACCTTGAACTTCTGATTCTCCCATCTCTATCTTCTGAGTGCTGGGATTACCGACGTACACCACCTTGCCGGGTTTATGTGATTCTGGGTGCCAAGCCCAGGGCTTTATGCGCGTTAGGCCGACACTCTACCAATTGAGCTACATCTTAGCTCAAATCTGCGGTTTTTTTATTTTTTTCATTCATCTTTTTCTATTATCCTGTGGGTAGAAAAGGAGAGCTGAGAACAAAGTTAGCAAGCTGTGACTCTGATAAGCCAGCGCAGACCCTCTAACTTAGAGGTGGACAATCAGTCTGCTCTGTAGCCCAGTGTAGACTTCCTCTTTTCTACTCCTACTCATGCCTGGATGCCAGAGGAACTGTATTATTTGGGAGATGAGGTCAGATACCAGGTTTTGGAGTAGTTGCTTCCCTCCTGCTATGAAGAGGTGGGGAACAGGCACTCATAAAAGATGCACTCACTATATTACACATGCTATTATAGAGTGCTATTATGTAATTCCTTTTACAACAATATTTCTATGGCCAATGTTTTTAGTTCCAACTGCACTTGCATTGGCACTTGTATTGATTTGTTATTTTGGTTTTGTTTGTTTGTTTGTTTTTGTTTGTTCTTGAGCTGAGGACCGAACCCAGGGCCTTGCGCTTGCTAGGCAAGTGCTCTACTACTGAGCTAAATCCCCAACCCCTTGATTTGTTATTTTGAGGCATGGTCTCACTCTGTACCCCAGGCTAGCCTCGAGCTTGAGATCCCCCCGCCTCAACCTCCAAGTGCTGGTATTACATGCATGCGCTACCACACCTACATTTATTTTTACCCACATATCCACAAATACACCATGAAATCTTATTTGTACCAGTTGTTGTATCTAACATTATTGTCCATCTTTCCCCCTTTGAAAGGTGTTGGAGTGGATCTTATTCTAGACTGCATAGGCGGATCCTATTGGGAGAAGAATATCAACTGCCTGGCTCTGGACGGTCGCTGGGTTCTCTACGGTTTAATAGGAGGAGGGGACGTCAGTGGGCCCCTGCTTTCAAAACTGCTCTTTAAGCGAGGGAGTCTGATCACTAGTTTGTTGCGATCTAGGGATAATAAGGTGAGCAATGAGTGAAAAAAAAAAAGTGTGACTGTCACCCAGAAAACTGTGTTGGTACATACTCAGTCATAGCTGACCCTAGGGAGCCTATAAGGAAACCTGCCATCTTGTGGACAGATGTGTTCAGACTGTCTAATTCAGATGAGCCAACAGAAGCCTCTGGCATCTCCCATATTTACACACACACACACACACACACACACACACACACACGCACGCACGCACGCACGCACCTGCGTACTTTCTATCAGGATGAACGAAACATTGGCCATAGTATTAAGTCTTCAAATAGGTCCGAGGCTTTGTTTTCAGGGTAGACCTCTTCTCAGTGTACTAAGAAAGCCTAGTCGGTAAATAAGTCGTACCTTCAACAAATTTATGCTCCTAAAGTCTTCTGTAGCATTCTAGCAGGTGCCAGGTTGGGAATGTTAGTTCATCAGTTTCGAACCCAGTAGGGAAGATAAGGCTCAATTAGGCATCCCTTTTGTATAGACACTATGTAAGTCTGTTGGTTACACTAGTATTTACTGCAGTGTTCAATCTTAACCTGATACAGATAATGGTTGCACATTTGAAAGCATGCTCTCTCATATAAGAAGTGAAGGGGGTTGTGCTGTTTCAGATGCTCAGACAGCATTAAGGCTAAGCAGGATGGGGGATGGCAGGGTAAGGCCTCTGTTCAAGTTGATGTTCGTTTTCTTAGTACAAACAGACAGTGGTGAAAACTTTCACGGAGCAGATTCTGCCCTACTTCTCCAAGGACAGCCCCCAACGTCTGCTGCCGGTTCTGGACAGAGTCTACCAGGCGACCGATATTCGAGCGGCCCACGAGTACATGGAGGCTAACAAGAACGTGGGCAAGATCGTCTTGGAGCTGCCCCAGTGAAGGAAGACTCCAGAGCAAGCTTGGAGTGGGTTCTTCTCCCAGGTCCACCCCTGTAAAGCTGCTCCAACGAAAATAAAAAGAGTGTATATGAAGGGAGGTGTGTTCTCTGTCAGTCACCTAGCATGTGGACAAGGGTGAGGTGGGAGTCAGGACTATCAGGTGTCACAAAGTGTCGCAGCATGGGTATGTGGGTTCACTCGGATCTGTGGAAACAAAACTCAGAGGCACCTTAAGATGAATCTAGTCTTTTGTGGCTGTAGGGGGATGCAGCCTCTAAGGACTTTGCCCAGGGCATTTTTATTTTTCTCAATATTTACACTTTAGCAAGTTGATATCCATATGCTCAAAAGAACCTGAAAGGAGCTCCCCAGAAATACAATGCCAAGTGCAAATTCCTCGATTTATCAGATACCACGGTTTTCCGGGTTTCCTGAACCACGTTTTGCATAGGCTTTGTATCCTGGGGAAACTCTCAGACAAGATTCACATAGGGCGACTGGAGAAACATAAGGTATCGGTTAAACAAAAGATTAGGGCAAGACGCTACTCTCTGGAGCCAGGCCAGGACTAGCTCAGCAGGAATTGCAGCCATAATCAGGTGCCGGGCGACCCCCGAAACCCCGGCCCCGGACCAGTGTTCTGGGTAAAGCTCACAATTCAGAATCCAGTAGACGGCGCTAAGCACCTAAAACGGGCCACTCCCACCTTCGTGTCCTCAACGCTAAGCCGCAACCCTGACCTGGACCCGCCCCTCAGCCCTCCAGCCCCGCCCCCTTCAAGCAGGAACACCTCCCTCCCTGTAGCCTTCACCCCGCCCCTTCCTGTCCGGTACCCGGAAGTGTCTTGGAGCTCGCCTTTGCGCCTTCCGGTCTGAGAACGCTGTCCCGGTAGTTGAGTCTGGAGCCTCTTTTCGAGGACGTCAACAGGTCCTCGTTTGAGACGCGGGCTTTCCGGCAGTGCCTGGAACGGCTTCCGGTTCTGCCTGGCTGTTGATACCCTGTATCTGACGCTCTGTCGCCCTCCCGGGCGACCGAGCTTTAGAGAGATTCCGAGGAATCCCACGGTCGCCTCCAACAGCCCGCCAAGATGGCGATGCAAGCGGCCAAGAGGGCGAACGTGAGTACCCGCTTTCTGCGCGGCGGGGAAACGATCTGGTGGCTTGGCTGTCGCAGCGTGGGTGGGAGAGTTCTTGTCCTCCGCCCACAGGTCGGGGAGCCCATTGCCTGTTCGGTCAAAGGAGGTTCTGTCCTGGCCTTATCCTCAGGGGTGTGTTCCTTGAGCGACTTTTCGCTCCCACCCCTTTTGAGAGCCCCCCCGGTATCACTGACAGTGTAAGGTCCCACAGTCTCTGCTGCTTGACCTCACCTAGGAGCAGGCGTTAGGATCTTCCGAGTCTAAAAAGCCGATAGCACAGACGTATTCAGTAACTATATGGTTCGCTGCCAGCTGGAGCCTGGTGTTTTTCTCGCATGTAGAACTTTGGGAATCCCCCGTTCATGTATTTAAGCTCCTGGCGTGTCTCTGGCTTTACAAATGGGAAGCAGTTCATCAGCTGTATTTATTCAACACCAGTGTTGGGGACACAGCAGTGAATTAAAAAGTCATTCTTGCCGGGCGATGGTGGCGGCACGCCTTTAATCCCAGCACTCGGGAGGCAGAGGCAGGCGGATCTCTCTGAGTTTGAGCCCAGCCTGGTCTACAGAGCGAGTTCCAGGATAGGCCCTAAAGCTACACATAGAAACCCTGTCTCGAAAAACAAACAAACAAAAGTCTTTTTTGTGTTCTACTGTTGGCAGCGAGTGGAGTGTTATCAAAATCTTTTCGGAAAAAAACTAGGCAACGCTTAAAACTTAGAATTATACCAAAACAAGACAGATAATTGACCATTGGATATGCTGATGAAGATTTGGGGCTACCTTGATTATTTGAATTATTTCAGTGAGTGAAAACTTGGTTCCTATAGGATAAAAAGATGGTGGGAATTAAGAAAAAGAAACCTGCAAAGAGTTGGTCCTTTGAGTTTTCTTATTAGTAGAGAAATTGAATTGTTCTAAAGATACATAAAGTGCATTTTATATGCCAACGAGAGTGCACCAATGGAATGGGAGAAACCTAATAAAAGAAGGAAAATGTATCAAGTTCAGGATCGAAGCTGGAAATGTGGCTCAGTGGTAGTCCCTGGATTTGATTCCAAGCACCTCAAATCGCAACAAAAACCTAAAATAATTAAAGAAGGGATTTTGAGTAGATGAGTGGTTGGTATAGCAGAAGAAAAATGGAATGGACATAGGTGAATAAAGTTAATAATAGGAATATATAGTACTTACCATTTAGTCATACCTGTTTTCTTCAAGAAGCATAGAGCCAGGGTCCTGTCCTGGGTTGGCAGAGAAGAGCAGACAGCCCTTTCAGTTTTACAGGGAATGATGGTGGAGAGGTTTTAGGAGAGAAGAGAAGGAGGTTACACAGTGTTTTGCAGAGTGAGAAAGCAGATTTATTAGAGAAATATATTTTTGTCTGGGCAGTTGTTGATTTTAAAACTTGGGGGGAAAAGGTATCACTACTCATTTGAAAGTGTGGAATAAATTTCTTTTAATTTATATTTATTTATTATTGTATTGCGTGTGCCACAGTTGTGTCAATTTAATAAGTATTTATTGGGAAAATTTTTGTCTGGTGTGTAACTGACTGAGTATATTAGCAGAGAGTGAGCTGTGAGTCATGAAAGTAGAATAAGAAGAGTGTGGAGTGTGAGAAATACACAGCAGGTCAAGAAAAGTAGCTATAGAGGACTATTTCAATATCAAAGATTGTGTAGAAACCCAAGTGTTGGAGGAGGAGGACCAGCCAGGCACCCTAGAAGTTTGCGAGGTGGACACTGCAACAAAAAGACATTAGCAGAATCACTTTCAGCAGAGTGCTGGGTGGTAGCTTAGGTCTGGCGTCTAAGAAATGAAGAATGAGTCAGTGCGTACAGACTCTTCTACTTGACTGAAAAAGAAAAAAAGCAAGATAAAGTAAGTAGAGAGAGCTAGAAAGTGCAGGGAAGCCAGACATCTTGTCCTTTCTTCAAGGTGTGTCTCTAATACCTAGCCCACTGTGTACATTAAAAAGGCATTTAGTGCCGGGTGGTGGTGGCGCACGCCTTTAATCCCAGCACTCGGGAGGCAGAGCCAGGCGGATCTCTGTGAGTTCGAGGCCAGCCTGGTCTCCAAAGTGAGTTCCAGGAAAGGCGCAAAGCTACACAGAGAAACCCTGTCTCGAAAAACCAAAAAAAAAAAAAAAAAAAAAAAAAAAAGGCATTTAGTAACTATTTGAGTGAGTGAAGAGGATTCCAGCATTTTGTTTTGTGTGGGGATTGGGAGGACCAGGTCAGCTGCTCTCGTGGTAGGAAGGGAAAGCCTGTAAGAACAAGAGAGAGGGGCCATTGACACAAGTTCTTAAGACAGCAGAAAGCTTATGAATGGGATTTTATCATCTTTTCTTTCCCAGGAGACATTAAGGATCCGTGAGTGAACTGGGAAATACTTGTTAAATTGGAGTGCTCAAAAGCCTCGGTCTTAGTTCCTACTTACAGTCTCCCCTCTGTGTGGTGCTCTCTTGTTTTTTCTGAAGAACATGCCACTTAAGAGTAGCATCAAATTATACTTTTATTCTTATTTTGCATCTTTGGGTTCTTTTTAATGGCAGCACTGCTTTCCTACAGTATAATGATACACATTTCTCATTTTAGATTCGCCTCCCACCTGAAGTAAATCGGATTTTGTATATAAGGAATTTGCCATACAAAATCACAGCGGAAGAAATGTATGATATATTTGGAAAATATGGGCCTATTCGTCAAATCAGAGTGTAAGTTGTACTGAGACTTGAAATGTCACTTACAGGAAATGGTTTCCTAGTCCATAATCTCAGAATTGTGACTAGCAGCAGAACTGTGTTGTGTGGTGTGTAGTGATAATGTCTGTTTCACAGTGAGACTACGAAGCTCTTGAGTAAAAGTACCTTTCTAGTACCATGTAAGGTTTAGTGATAAAATCTTCTAACCCTGAACTGAACAGTTAAACCATTTATACAGAACCTGGACTTGTGCCATTTAAGGGTTCCTCTGAAAAGAGTTCTAAAGCTTTTATTTTTAGTTACACTATTTCTTTTTAGGGAGCACCTTGGGTAGGCCCTGTTGGTTTGAACCCAGGGCCCTGTACATGCTGGGTAGGCACTATACCTCTGAGCTGTAGCCAACCCCACTATATTTTTATAAGTTTTCTGAAGTGAGTGTGGTGGTGCAGTGCCTATAAACTCAGCTCTTCAGAGGTGAAGTCAAGAGTTCAAGGTCGTTTTCATCAATCAGTGATTTTGAGGTCAGTCTGGACTTCCTAAGACCCTACCTCAAACAAAACAAGCAAAAAAAAAATTCTTTTTATAATCTGAGAACCCCTTCCTGGCCTTTAGGACCATTGAGGCTGAGGACTTTGCTTTTGAATGCTCTCCATCTCTCCTAGGATAAACTGATTACTGGAAACACGTTATCATTAATACCCGAATGAAGACAAAAACAAAAGCACTGTAGACCAGTTGCTCTTAGAAGGTCTCGGTCCTCTGAGCAGCAGCTAGGAGCTTTGAACTTCTACAGGATACATTTTGTCTGTATTTTGAGGATGTGAGGACTCCAGGTCCTTCCAAGTACCAAGAATCAGGAATCAGGGAGCAGAAGTGTCTACCATGTGGCAAGTTGCCGGGCTTGTTGGGTTTTCTTCATCTGTAAAATAATCTGGATGGTGGTGGTTGTTCTTGTTTCGTTTTGAGACAGGGTTTCTCTGTGTAGCCCTGGCTGTCCTGGAACTCACTCTGTAGACCAGGCTGGCCTTGAACTCACAGACTCACCTGACTGCCTCCAGAGTTCTGGGATTAAAGGTGTGCACCAGCACTGCCAGGTTCTTAATGTGGAGGCAGTGTGATAAATTGACAGGATTGGTTGTTAGACCTGGGTTCAGTTACTAAAAGAACTTTCAAGTTCAGTGAAACTGGGCAGACTGTTTCCTCTATCTAGGCTTCAGTTCTCTGTGGGAGACTTAGCTTGGATGGAATTACGAAGTCTGCACATATCAGAGTTGCCAGCTTTGCAGTGTGTATTGGTCACCAGTCTCTGTAAAACACCAGTTGCCACTGAACTTTCTCTGTCCATCCCTTAGTTACTATGACTTAGTAACTAAGTTTCCTAGTAGTTAATACGTGGTTGTGCTATTGCCCATGAACTCACCTGTCTTTCTCGGTAGGGTGAGTGCCTCCAGGCTATGTGCTGATAGCATTTGCGCCTGATTCATAGTAACCACCCATATATGTGTGTGTGTGTGTGTGTGTGTGTGTATGTGTGTGTATATATATGTGTATATATGTGTGTATATATATATATATATATATATATATATATATATATATATATATATATATATACACAAATGAATATGGCTGGGGATACAGCTCAGTAGTAGAGTCTGCAACACCTGAGTTCAATCCCCAATACCATAAAAAGAAAATAAATGAATATAATAGTAGTATGGCTATGACTAATGTATGATGGCATTATAAAACTTACTGATACTTAGTTGAGAGGTGGTTAAATCAAAGTTAGAGAATGTTGCTGAAAATGCAACAAAAGAACCAGTCATGGTGGAAGACACCTGTAATAAGAGCCACTTTGGAGTCTGAGGCAGAAAGATTGCAAGTTTGAGG